TAAGATTCTCTCCTGGGGGTACTAAAAGTTTTGTGCATTAGGGCTTGAACCTTAACAACCCTATAAGATGGTAATCTGGGTGCCATAATAATGTTCTGCAAATGAATAAACAGGCTCAGAGGGGTCAGTGTCCGGCTCAAGGTCACCTAGTCAATGCAGAGCAGAGTCGATACTCGGCCACATGGATCAATGACACCGACTAGAAGGGTCTTCCTCTCCCCCTATCCTGTGCTGTCTCTGCACTGTCTTCCTTCCTCCAGAGGGGCAAGCAGAATAGATGGAGAACAGCTCATGTGCCTGACAACTGCATGGATTTACCAGTCTGGAATACAGCATTCAACAGCTACAAAACAAAAATCACCTGCAATTGGACAGTAATAAATATCTGCAAGACCAAGTGCAACCAAAACGACGTTGAAAGATCTGTCAAGATCAACAGCAAAGGTGAGTCCAAAAAGTCAATAGTGATGTCTACCAGTGACACGGGATGAACAGCTAAAACATCTTTGAGAGAAAATACGGTAGAAGGAAAAAGGCAGCTTGGGAGTACTATGTTAAAAAAAAAAAAAAAACAAAAAAAACGGAAAGATGGCCAAAAGCCAAAACCCAAACACATGCATCACTGCTGGCAGAGGTGGTTCAGGCACAGAGAAAAAGAGGTGCCTTCACACATCCTATTTTCTTCTCTGATGGCAGGTGCAGGCTATCTGTCAACCCCTCAGTTACTGATAATGCAAAGATCTATGGTGGGCAACAGGTGGCGTGTCTTCCTATAGACAATGTACAGATGACAAGAGAAGGCAGCCAAAGAGCCACCAGATTGAGACAAATGGTTTATAACACCAGAGACGGCCACCAGCATACTCCCCATGATAAGACAGCAAGAATCGGCCCTGGGAATGAGCATTTACTGAGCACCTTTATTATTCTGGATGCTGTGCTAGCTGTTCTGTGTACACTGGCTATTCCATGCCTCCCAAGCTCTGGGGTAGGTAGTATTCTCTGAAGCACAGAGAACTGAGGCACTCGGGCTTATGTGGCCAGGGAGTGCCAGTGCAAGGGATTGAACTCAATCTGACGTCACACAGCCTTTCCACTCTTCAGTCAAGACCTAGGTTCTGCCCCAGTACTTATTAGCTATGTGGCCTTAGACAATAAGGCCTGTGTCAATCTCTGTACCCCTCAGGCTCCTGAGACCTGCTTATTGCATGGAACTGTTGTGGAGACAGAAGGAGAGAAAATGTGAGAGCACATTACCCTCTGAAAAGACTTCTGCAGTCATGATAACATGACTAACAATACGAATGACATTTCCCGAGCACCTGCTGTGTGCCAGGCACAGGGCTTACTGCCTTGCAGGAATCATGCCATTCAGGTCTCACAGTAATCTGTGAAGTGGGTACACTTATTGCCCACATTCTCTGAGTGAAGAAATGGGTGAAGTAAGCCACCAGCAGCAGGGGGGCAGGGCTAGGGTGGGAGCAGCTTGACCTGCTCCAGAACCCTCGCCAGGAACTGGACGCTGAACAAGAAAGGTCTTCCCTTTGCCTTCATCCCCTGTGGTCACAGGGGAGAGATGTGCTGGTTTGCGACTTTCCCTTTAGATCTTGGAGCTGGAGATTGTCACTGTGGGAAGGCCAGTATGTTCCACAGTTGAAGGAGACTGCTTTCTGTGCTTATCTGTAGCTTGTCCTTGTCCAATCACATTATAAAATGCCTCGAGAATGTTTACCGCTTGCTGGCGATGTGCCCCTCCTGAGTTAGGTCCTGAGTTAGGAGATAGATACGCCCAGAGTTCCAAGGGTTCACCGCCTAACAGCGGAATCAGAAGACAAGGGTTTACAGGCCCCACCTGTGACCCAGGCTCTGTGTTAAGCCCTGGGAACCCAAAGATGAACAAGATACAGTACACGGTGATGTGGTCCGCAACTGGGATTTGCCCAGGATAAACTGGGGCCCAGGGTAAAGGCACCTGACTCTGTTGGGTGGGTGTAGACATGGACAGAAGAGCCTCCCAGAGGAGGTGGGGTTTCAGAGCCCCATACTGATTGTCCACACTGCTCACGAATTTCCATGGGTCAGCTCTCATCTTCATGGCAACAATCCTGTTGGGCAGGTACTATTATTTATAGATAAGGTAGTGAGTGACTTGCTTAAGGTATCACAGTGGGAAATGGCAGACCAAACTCTGATCCCAGGTGCTCTGATTCCCAGCTTGCCAGGCTCTAGAGTTTGTGCTCTTTCTAATATGAAGGGTTGCCACAGAGAACACAGGCTCTGCTGGAGAAAGCAGCAGGACACTGAGAATGCACAGAGCAGGAGAGGGGACCTCCCCACCACCACCCAGCCGCCCCCCGACCATCCGGAAGGCTACACAGGAGGCGGTATGACAGGCCTACACAGGTCTTCTCATTATCCTGGTGTGGGTCATGGCAGGGAGGAACATCCTAGAGGGTCAAGGTCCCCTGCCCAGCTGTCCAGGGGACAGGGTCAATATTTTTGGTGGGGAGGTAAGCTGAAGATGAGGAGTTGTCTTTAGGTTGTAAGAAATTGAAACCCATACTAGAGAAAAAAAAAGAAAAGAAAAGAAAACAAAAAAGGGAGTACTTGTTTTAAGGAATCAGGCATTTTGCAGAACCCAGACTAGAAGTGCATGGTGAGCACAGGGAGGGGGTGAGGGAGGATACACACTCAGTGGCCCTAGGCCCTCTTGCTGGGCCTCGGCCTCTGTTTACAAGCCTCATCTTTTCTCCTCTGCAGGCCAGCTCCTGCTGCCTCTGGGTAGCAGGGCAAAAGATGCTTCCAAACACTTTTCTCAGCTCCAACATCTCTGATCTGTGATTCTAAATCCCCAGGAGAGGGAATGTGATTTGTTTCTCTTGCACCACAAGGCCAGGCCCCCAGCCAAGGCCAGGGGATATGGGGGTCCTTTCTCAAAGAAGGTGGAGTTTGGACTGTGGGCCAGGCCCCGGGGGGGGGGGGGTCATGCCGGAGGCTCAGGAGAGGTGTCCAACTCTAGGGACCGTCAGAACCCAGGTTCTGGAGAGACAGTGCTGAAAGGTCTGCCCTTTAAAGTAATACATTGACTTCCACATTTATCATTCTTCTGTGGTGTTATTAAATCCATAAATAAAGATTTAATCTTTTAAGCTCTGCATTGTGAGAGCAGAAGTTAAAGAGCAGACACAGGAGAGCTTATCGGCCCTGGCGGTGGCGGGGGTAGCAAAGGAGGGGGTGACCAGGCTGCTGGGGCTGCGGAGCCAGGAGAGGCTGCAACTGCTGATAGGGGCTGGGGGTGGGAGAGACCCCTGCCGTCTGGCAGCAAAGCTCCTGCACTGGAGCCTGCACTGCCAGCTGAGGCAGCACACAGGCTGGAAAGCAGGTCCTAAAGAGAACTCCCTGGACACAGGGAGAAAAACCCAGAGTCTCGACAGCTCTCCAGGTGAGCACATTTTAATCTAAACAGAGAACTGGGAGCAGTTAGGGGAGGACCCTAGGAGCCTCAGGGAAGGAAGGGGTTCCTGCAGGAGGAGAGAACGGAGCCTCCAGGAAGAGGCGGAGGAGAAGGAGGAGGGGTGGGGGGTGGGGGGTGGGAAGGGCTCTGCTTCCTGCTTAGCCTGAGCCGGGCCCAGAGGAAGCTCTGACAGCTGAATCAACAACTTCATCCTTACACCCCTGCCCTTCCCTCCCACCATCTAGGGCTCAGACAACATTGGCTCAGGCTCTTTGATGAAAATGGTAAGGCCAACACTTTGGTTCCTCTGGTGGGGAGACACAAAGACCAGCAGGAGGGTGGAGAAGATGCTGAGAACAAAGCAATGAAGTGGAAAGCCAAGCAGTTAGGTCCAGGAGGCTCTGCAGGCCAAAGCAGGGGGAAGGAGAGCCCTCTTCATCGGGCCTTGTGATGGAGGGCAACGTCTGGACCAGGAAGCTGGCAGACAGTGGTGCCCAGCAGCCTACATGGCTTACCTTTGTAGGAAGGGCCAGGTGTTGGGGGCAGAAGTGGAGCTTCTCTTTGGGCTTTTAGCCCCCTTCCCCCTCACTGGGGCCTGTGCTTCCCACTGCCTTTTGTTCAATCCAAAGCAGAAGTCACCACCTGTCTCTGCCAAGTAATGGGCCATGGAGGGTCTGAGAAGGGGTGGTGAGGCTGGTTTCTGATGATAGGCTTCAGCTGCCAAGGCTCTCTCCTTGAGCAGCAGATAATTTAGTTTAATGAATTTGGACAGTTCACTGGATCTGCCCACACAGTTCCACTCACCTTCCAAAACGCTTCCAAAATAGCCCAAGCTATTGAATGGGAGCCAAAGAAGAAGAAGAAAAGCAAAGAGTAATAAATGACAAGGCCCCAGAGATTTCTGCCCTTTCAGAAAAGTCTGAGTGAACTTTTCCAAAGAAAATTGAAGCAAAAAAAAAAAAAAAAAAAAAAAAGGCTGTTTCTGTCCTTCTCATTGAGAATTCAGGCAAAGAAAGATGCTACAAAGACGGGCGCCCACATGGAGGCAGAGGACCCGGTTTCTACACTGCGCTCCTCACACGGATGCCATATCTACGGCCTCAGAGCTGTTCCCTTGTCAGGGTCATCCCGAAACCGTTCCTGATGTTGCACACCACATCAGGTTACCTCCACCGACGCGGCCCCGGCCTGTGGCAGCTCACAATGACGCTGTGAGAGTGTCACACTCGCAGGGAGGCCATCCTCCCCAGGCGCACACTGGGCCAGGGTGCCCTGCCGCCCCTCCCCTAGGCCAGGAGCCCTCTCTCCAGGCCTCCAGCGAGAGCTCCCTCCCTCCTCCGCAGCCCTCCGGCGCACCGCCCGCTGGAGCCAGATGTTCCGTGGGCAGCCCCCTCCGTGGGTGACAGGCCGTGATTACTGTTGCCAGCCCCACATTAGGAGCGCGCTGAATGGGAGCGAGCCCCCCCCCTCCCCCCGCCCGGCTGCCTACAATAGCGCCTTTGTGAGGTGCTTCGCCGGCTTGCTTTTCCCTGCCTCGCCAACCTACGTCAGGGCAGCTCTTGCCTGGGGAGAGAAGAGAAGACGACAGGAGGATCACAGCGCCCTGGCTGGTCCGCCCCATCCTAGGGAGGCGGGATGTCCTTTAGGGAAAAGATGTGTTCCTTCTCCTCCCCGCCCTGAGAGCTCCCTGGGCCTGCCTGAGGTCCACGGCCCCGTGCCACCGCCTTGTTCCCGACCGCGGAGTGGGGGCGGAGGCTGGGATGGGGCCCGGCCCGGAGCTCAGCACGGTCCCAGACGCAGGAGTCCAAAAGCCGGGCTTCTCCGCTTCCCTCTGTCCTTCCCCCAGACGGCCTTCTGGAATTCCAAGCCAGAGGCCAGGGCAGAAAAGGGTTAAGTCTCCAGGCCTCCCAGGCCGGGGGGGGGGGGGGGCGGTGCGCGGGGTTGACCAGAGGGACGCGTTGGGAAACTGGGAAAGCTAACATCTGGGGCGCGCTCCTTGCCCCTCCTCCCTGCCCAAACCGCAGACGCCGTGGCAGCAGGAAAATCGGAGCGGTTCGCAGGAGCTCGGTTGTGTAACCGCGCCCCCCAACCACCCCCACCCCGCCCCCGGGGATTGCCCCGGGCTGGAGAGGGGCGTGGGGGCGGGGCGGGGCAGACTGAGGCTGCAAGCTCTCCCCAGACGCCTTCAGGGCTCGCGGCTTCACACTACTTTCCAGGGCCACTAGTAGTACCACTTTGCCGGTTCGTAAACCTCCGAGGACTGGAATTGGGAGCCGCGCCCCTGGGCCGCAGTCTGGCGGCTGGGGTCCTGGTGCCAAGGGTGGCCCTGGGGGGGGGGCGCGCTGCAAACCCAGGGCGGGTGTGGGGGGCAGCCCTCCGCCCGGCCTCCCCAGGCGCCTCGCGGCGAAACCTGTAACTCGAGAAAGTCCCTGCCCCACCAGCGGGAGAGCCGGGCCGCGTCCCTAACGTGGCCTAAGGGGCGGCGGAGGAAAACTGAGGGTCGCGGGGAGAAATCGTCTCTGCGGGCACCCCAGACACACACAGGCAGGGAGCAGTGGATTTTCCTTTTAATGCAAAAGGCGGCAATACAAAATGATGCGCAGGAAGCCCAGGTTCTCCGGGCACTTCAGGGGCAGCCACAGGTGAGGGTTCCCTCCTCCGGAACTCGCTCTCCCCGCCCCCTACTAACACTGAGGCTGGAAATATTCTGCTGCCCCTTTGCTGGGGTTGCCCACCTGCAAGGGCCAGAGCTGTGGATCTGCGAGACCTCCGACTGGCCTGAAAGGCACTGCCCTGGGGCAGGAGGGGAGAGAACACTTAAGGTTTTCCCTCTTTCCGCTAGGAAAGGAGCTCTCAAGATCTAAAGTCCCACAGGAAACGAGGGGGCCTTGAGAAGGTGGCTTTCACTGGCTGCAGATGCGGCGGGAGCGGCGGCCTGCCACATCTGGACGAGGAGCAGGAAACGTGATGGGGGTAGAAATGTGCGGAGGTGACAGAGATCCGAAACCCAGAGCTGGGTCCTCAGACTTCTTCCTCTTTCCTTCGCATCTCCAGCTTATAGACAATCTGGTAGCCGTCATCCCAGGCGTAGAGCTGGCGCTCTCGGGGGTTGTAGCGGAGGCTGGCATGGGCCCCGTACCGGCGGGGGAAGTAGGGGAGCGCTGCCCTCTCTGGGGTCAGGGTGCCGCTGGCATCAAAGGAGCATTGGATGCGGGCCCGGCTGGCAGGGCGGGTGTTATAGACGACGTACAGGGTCCCGCAGATGACAAAGGCAGCCTCGGCGTTCTCTCGGGGACACGGTGTGTCCCACTGCTGCTCCGTGTCCAGAGTCTGGGGGTCTAACTTAGCCAGACACAAGTGCCTATCGTCTTCCCGAGTGGCGTAGACGGCCCACAGGCCCTCCTCGTCCGCGGCCAGGTCAATGTAGGTGTCAGCTGTCAGCCCATATGGGGGGATCAGCCCCTCCGCGGGGAACACGGAGCTGTCCACCACCGTTCGGTTGGCCAGGTGGAACTTGATGAGTTGCAACGTGTTCTCCAGCCCCCCTCCCCCTCCGGGTCCTCCGGGAGGCCTCCGGGCGTAATAAAGAAAGCCCCCGTACACCAGCTGTCCGGTGCCCACCCAGGGGAAGGGCACCCGGACTCGGGAAGCTTTCCGGGCAGCCATGGCCAGGGTGAAGTCCCGCAACCTTGGGAAGACAAAGGCTGTGTCGTTCTGTGTCCCATCTAATACGTAGATCTTCTCTGTTGGCCCCATTGGATCCTTTGTCCATAGACCAGCTGGGCCACCAAACCGCTTCAGGATCTTCATCGATCTCACCTGAGAGATCGTGTAGCCACAGTCTGGTGGGGAGGGAGGAAAGCACAGGACAGGGCAATACCGGCAAGAATTAGATACCCACTGTGGGGAACCCACCAGGGGGCCATCTGGAGGACAGAGGGCATCTGCCAGTGGACACCTCCTCTCTACGGGAGACTAAGGGAAAGGGCACCCCAGAAACTCTTGCAATGGACCTGTCATTATATTCCCCTAAAACAGATTCCAGGAGGCTGCACCAAAGTGGCCTGGGATGAGGAGAATGACGGGGAAGGAACCAAGGAAGAGCACAGGTTCTGAGAGTGTGAGGGCTCTGTTGCTGGATTGCTTACCTGTCAGCATATCGTACTTCTCATTTCTTCTGCCCTTGCCTTTGATCCCGGGGCCTCCGGTCACCTTCTCGTCAACCTCCACACAGGGTAGAGCTGGGTTTTGGGTCTCCAGATAGTCAACCTCCCGCTCCAGACGGTCTACTCTCCCCGAGATAGTGTCAGCCTCAGTCCTGAGGGCCTCACGCTCCTTCTCGGCCACCTCCAGCAGCGGCAGCATCTTGTTCTTGAAGTCCCTCAGCTCGGCAGCGTGCCGGCTACTTTGGTCCTGGCATTGGGCCAGCCGTTCCTGCAGGGATGGGGGGGGCCAGGAGGGGGGCTGAAGGGTCACAACTCTCAGGCAGGGAGAGGCCCGACCAGGGAGCAGAGAGTGGGGGAAAGCACACACTCAGCCAGGCATCCACTGCCCTTCAATCTCCAACTGAAAGGAAACCAGATGTCAGAGATGCCAAATGTGCAAAAAACCCAGCACGGATCACCTAGGCTTCTATCCCCAGTTCGTGTCCTCCAGCCCACGTTCTCCGTGAGCCTCACCTCAGAGGCCATCCTCTAAGCCGCCGGGGCGGCCTAAGTGCATGAGGTTGGTCAAGGGTCTCTGCTCCATTATACAGTGCTCCGCTCGGGAGTGCACATATTTCCACTTGGGAAGTCCCCAGACTTCAAACCGTTATAAAAAGCAAGCTGCAAGCTCTCTGGGAACTTCCAACTCTCACAGAATCACCAGCTCATCCTAAGAGGCTTTCCTACCACTCTGTCTAGCTCTCCTGTCCCCTGTCCCCTTATTCCATGCGATCTCAGGGTAAAATAGAAAGGCCTGTTTGTTCTGGAGTCACTCTGCGGCTGTGGGGAAAGAGCTGCGATTGCAATCGTGAGGATACCCTTAGTAAAAGGTGAGTGTTCTGTAGCGCCTCACAGAGCCCCACCTTGTCATCCCCACCCCAGATCCCTGACTCGCTAGGTGAAGCAACAAGAGATGTAGAGCCCTTCCAGCCAGCCTGGCCCAGGACGAAAAGGGAGCCACTCACCTCTAAGGCAGCTAGTCGGCGTTCCATGTACTCCACGAGGTGGTGCTGCTGTCCTTGAAGGGGTCGCAGCCACCATGACAAAAGGAACATGGTGAGGAGAGGCATGCAGGGCCCCATGGCAGCGGAGAACAGGGCCCCCGAGTAGGATTAGGAGTAGAGCGCGGTCCGGAGCCTTTCCCGCTTAAGCCCGCCACTTAGCTTTGGAGGCGGGGTGGGGGCGGTCCCTCCTCTCGTCCTGGATCTTGGGTCTCTCTCACTCCTCTGGAATGCTCTCACAGGCTCTTTAGGTCCCCCGCCCCCTCCCATCCGCCTGGATTGATTAAACACAGATGGCCCTATGACAGAGCGGCCAGAAGCCATAAGCACCTCCCGCCTAGGCTGTAGGCTCCCCAGGAGAGGGGAAGGAGGTGAAACCCCAGGACAGAGGCCTTCTGGGCAGTCACCCAGAAAAAGAAGCTAGCAGCAGGAGGCACGGCCCCAGAGTACACTCAGCAAACTCTGTTCCTGTTTTAGGAGAATGCATGCTTCCTTCCAGCGCTGGCTGCTTAAGAAAAACCCATCATTAGTCTTTTCCTTTCCCAGCAATAGTAGCATGAATTGTTTTCTGCCTTGCTCAGTGTAAGCTGGAAGCAGGGAAGATGAGGTTTGAGGGGAAGAGGTGGGAAAAGATCACCCCGGTCCTGTCTGCATTACCTTCTTCTATAGCTCATTGGCGCCACCTTGCGATGTCATCTCAGGACTTATGGGGAAACCAAGACTTAGATCTCACCTCCTGAGGAAAATTTTCCACAAAGCAAGCCAAGCAGATTGAATTTACAGGACTTTTTTTTTTATCATGAAAACACAGATTTCCCCACAGACTACCCAAGTACTTGAGGAGCTATTCCAATCTCTCTCTGGCTTAGCCTAAGGAAGAGTATGTAACTGAGATTTAAAAACAAACAACAAAAAAAACCACAAAAAAATAAAAATAAATAACAACAACAACAAAAACCCAAATCATTTATAAGTTAAATTAGTTTTTGGTTACCTGGAAGTGAGATTGATGGCAGAGCCTTTCTACTTGGCTTTCTTTTACCCGAATGCTTCTAAGTATATTGTCTTACCAAAACTGGGGGATGTTCATGAGTTCACACTCATTTCATGTTCATTTATTTAGGAAAACAAATCTGAAAAATGTATGTGTTGCAGTCTGAATCAAAATAAATGTGTTCTGACTTCCCTACTAATGGGAGAGAAGAGCCTACTGATCATTCCTCTTGGTTATGGTCCAAAACAGTGTTTCTAAATGTGTCTCATTCCTATGTCCCAACCACGACCGCAGAACCCCACAATGAATTAATGGCCATGGTACGGTAGATGTGGCCGGAAACACATGTCAAAAGAAGTCAAACGAGTATACCTTTTATTCATTGACCTGCAGTGATCCATCTACACAAATCTCTAATTCTTTATCAGGAGAAATTTTGTTCACTTTAGAACCAAGAGAAATCTTTTGAGAAGGGCTCCTTCTCCAAAAGGCCTATGCTTCTAACGATGTAGCTTGAAAGAAGGGAAAAATAATATCTTCTGTGGTGATTCTCACTTTCATTACAGTACTTCAGATGGTCGGCGGAACATGCTAGGAAACAAAGTTTAATTATTCTGGGTCACAAGTTCTGCCTCTTTCAAAGAGCCAGAACCAGAGGATCTTCAGTTAGGGCCCGGACACTCCATTCTTGGAGAGTGTGTTCTACCGACCCCGACTCATTTCCACTGTGGAGATTTGTATGAAACCCGCCACTGATGTTCAGATGCAATGTATTTAGCCACTCCAAAGATGTCGTTTGTTGATCCTCTTTGCAACCCTCCAACAGAAGTCAAAAACAGCCACATAAATCAGAAAATTTACCCATTTTATTGATGCATTGCAATTGCTCTACATTTTACCATATTATGTAGAAAATACTGAAAATACAAGCTACTTTGTAAAACCAAAGACAAACATTGAATCCAAAGATAAACTATGTTTTACACAATGGACCCTTTTCCCGTAGTTAGTATTAAATTTTAAATATCTATTTCTTTTGTTAAAATGATTATTTTACATACTCCCTAAGTACATCTGCATTACAAACATAGCTCAATAATTCTCAGAAACTGTTTCTAGAGGCTTGTTGTAAAAGGAAGCGCACAACCAGAAAAGGGAGAAAGCAAAAGAAGTTTAAATCGCACACAATAACTAGCATATCAAATACATTTAATAAAGTTGGAATTCCATTGCAATATCAAGGATTCAAAGCAGAAATACTAACATTACATATAATGTACATATAATGTACTGCTACATGTAGTGAGATTATTTTTCAAGCTGAATCAAAACCACACATTATATAAAGTTTAGCAACAAACAACCATGTAGACATGCTGCACCATCCATCAGTTTAAAAAAATAAAATAAACCAAAAACTAAAATAGGAAGCAGGCTTGGGCCATTCCTGTCACTGAGAGGCAATTTCATTTCCTATCCTAAAACAAACCAACCTAACCAGTGGGTTTTTGCATAATAATGCTGAATAAAACACACATTACTGTGCTTGCCTGGCTAAGGGCAGTCAAGCTGAGCCCCTCTAGTGGAGGACGATGGATGGCCAGAACTGTTTGAAATGGAGTTCTTATTCCTGGGGCTGGTATCTGAGCTGAGTACTGACAGCAGTATTCCCTCCTGCGGGCTCTTCAAACTCTGGAGTGATCAAGTTGCCCAGGAGCCCAGAGTGGCGGTATTTAAACCTTCCCCGCTTTCTCTCTCAGCCCTGCAGGGGAGAAGCTGGAAACGCAAGTTCTGAAAGGACGTAAAGCCTTAAGCTGGTATGACTGAGGCCAGACCACTGGCTGAGTTCGCAGGGCTTCCCCCATCCTGTCAGGGCCAGCAATGTTAAACCCCAGGGACAGAATCTAAAGCCACATGGAGCACATAAAAATTCAGCGGATACAGATTTTTACCTCGGTAAATTTGAAATGCCAATTTGCAGACTAAGGCTGAAAACTTCTAAAATTCTTAAAGCCACACATTGCTAGTCAGGTGATGAAGATAACAATACACGCTCTTGGTATTGTCTTTTCCCCATGAAGTTAGTAAGACTCACATCTTAAGTGGTATCTACTTATTGGACAGGGCGGGGCAGGAGTGGACTGTTCTGTATATTTTCCCTGCATCTCATTTGTTACAGAAACAACAAATCTTATCCCTTGTAGAGGAAAGAGGAACAATGAAATGTTTCTCCTGGAAACTTAGGTCTGCCTTTGAGCAAGAAAATAAGAATACACTCAGCAAATGAGGAAACACAAAGATCACACATGCAGACCAGAAAACCATGTAACACCAGTGACAGAAACTATAAAAACTGCTTGGGTATCTTCACCAATATAACGGTGCAAACACAACTCAAGAGAATAACCCCACCACCACCACCACTCCTCAAAAAAAAAAAAAGAAAGAAAGAAAAGCAGAAAACACCAACATGTTCCTGGTAGGCTGTACTGACTATCTGCCCCATCGTGGAAGCCCTTACTCTTTACAATGAAGAAACTCCAAATACCTTGACAGCTCCTCGGTGTTCAACCCGGTACAGAGCTGGCTGACCAGGCTCCATGAAATCTCCCATCTCCATCCTGCACCTCCTTGACGCCATCTCTACAAAGAACCAGTCCTAGACTTAGCCCTCAAATAACAGAATTTTCAATTCAGATGGAACACTTCTATATCTTAGAGTTAACTTTCTTCCCCCAAATCTTTTATGGGCAGGAACATCCCCATCCCCAGTACCCTCCACTTGACCCAGATCCATGCAGGAGCTGAGAGTACAAGGACAATTTCACAGCCCCAAGAATACTCAAGTTGTTAAAAAGAAACCTCCAAAGCCCGATGACTCGATAGGTTTTGGTTCCTTTTTAATATTCTTCACTGGCTCAGAAACGTTTGAGTTCCCTGTCACCAGCGGCATCACAAAACTCCTCCTCATAGTATGGGGACATGGTAAGCAATACAACAGGCTCTTTGGTATAAACAGATCTGTTATAGGTTTTTTTTCAACAAGCAAATATTTTACTAGGAATGTCAACTATTTGCAGGAGGGACTGCCACATGGGAAAAGGGGAAAAAAAAATCTCATTCTAAAAGGTGATTGCACATACTTAAAAAAAGAAGAAGAAAAAGAAAAAAAACACATATTTCATACTGGCTTGACTCCTCCTACCTGCTTCCCAAGTTCTCACAGAAGCAAGGTAGCAATGCACCGTGAGAGAGCCAAATGGGGGAAATGCTTCTGTGAGAACTCAGCTGAGATTCCAGACTGGAAAGGGGTAGAGGTGGTGGTAAAGGAGAAAAGCTGCTGTTTTTATTTTTCAGTCTTGGCAGGGAAACTGACAACAATGCATTTACATGGCACAGCTACTGATCCTGTTCTGCTAAATCCCAGTGAACAGCATGGGGTCCATCCTAAGGCAAGCTCACTGTAAACTCTATGAACCACTACATTATCATATAAGGCACTACAATAAGGGAAGGAGGAGAAAGGGAAGAAGAGACACACACTGAACAACTCCTCACCAGACACACCTGTGCAAAACAATTCCAAGGGTCTCCTCTCCTTGCAGGCAATGCCCCTGCTCATTCAACACTACAGTAATATGCTCTAATATAATTGCAATTAGTTCACATACATTCCAACAAGTATCAGTTCATTTTGGTTTAAATACAATGGAGACATCCATTCCATCTCCGGGGTAACACTGGAGGATCAGATACACACTAAATACACAATTCAAGTGTAATCACTACACATTTGATTACAAATAACATTTGGGGTTAGCAGGAAAAATTGCTTGTTATATTTTTCTAATCAATATGTACATATTTAATTATGCAAAATATTAAAACACCACCATTACAAAACTTCTAAAATATTTTTAAATTCAGTAATAAATTTTTAAAATATTTTTTGCAATTCCTACATGCACTTATTGTATAAGTCTTAATAAGAGAGCATTCAGTTTGCTGCTGGCATACAAAGGAAGCTACTTTAAAGTATAAAAGCTATACACAAAGTTCTTATCTGGTTTCAGATCCTTTTGCTTTCTCCCCAGATAAATCACATAGAACAGAAGGGAGAGATGAGGCAGAGAGAGAGAGAGAGAGAGAGAGAGGTGTATTATTGAAAATTCATATTAATCTTTAGGCAAAGCTCACCAATGCCAACAACCTTTAGACAAAGCTCATCAATACCAGTATCACATAATACAAAGAGATATTGCGTATAATAAGACAACCACCACCATAAAACAATAACCACCTTAATGGCTTTTCCAATAATAAAATTTAAGCTGAAACAGAGACAAAGACTTTTAAAAATAACTTAAGAAGAATGCATGGTACTTCATTTAAAAAGAATACCTAGTGCTTACATGGTAGATATGGATTCTCTCACACTAAGTTACCAGCAAATGGTGAGCTGCCTTTTTAACACTACTTTATAATAAACACAGGAGCAACTGAGAGAATCCCGAGAGTAACATAGAGCAGTTTATAACCAGTTTTGCTAAAATAACAATTGCCCAGTAAGTATAACATGACACAAAAACAAAACTAAAACACTGTAAGTCTAAAGTCCCATAAAGAAAGATAAGATTTTGAGGAGAAATGCCTGATAGTCAAATACAGACTTGTGTAAGCCGCTCTTAAAATAGGCAATTAAGTCTTGGTTTTTAAACAAACAGAAGAGTGATTATTTTTCTTTTCTCACTTGTTACCAGATTTCAAGTCCTTCTATCAGCATTTTTCCTCTGACCAGCAATTACAATAAAACAAAGTTAAATAAAGAGGGGGCTTCACTTGGTTTTAAAAACATTTATAGAACTCAAGTCAGAGAGAAAATATTTTTCAAAGGGTAACTTCAAAACAATCTCTCTTCCTTGGTAACTGCAGAAGATGGGCATCTCAACTCTTCCAAATACCAAAAATGCTGTCACAAAAATAAGGAATTAAAAAATAGGGCAGACTTTGGGAGACTACAACAATGCAGTCAACACTAAGACAGGTTCCCCAGAGAAAAACCTTCTGCTTCAGTGGGCCCCTGCAGGACAAGTTGCTGGCTAAGGAGTTTCTGGAGGGGCTTATGGGAGGAGTTCATCATTGTGTGTCATTAAGAACTCAGGGCCAGGAACAGGCAGCCATGACCCCTCCTCCCTCTGCTCACCAACTACAAATAGGAATACTGGCTGATCTTGGTAGGACTCAGTGGGTATCCAGTGTAAATTGTTGAGCCTCGGGAAGACCCGATGTAGGACTGGGTGGCAAACTGGTGTTGGTACTGAGCAGGGGCCACACTGGCTGAAGTGAGCAGGCTGGGCCCAACACTGACAGGGACCTGGTGCACCAGGGTGCTGGGGTGGGTGCTGTAGGCTGCAGCATGCCTTGAGGAGCCCTGGGGGGAGAAGAGATGAGCAATGGAGCTGGTGGAGCCCAATGCAGCAGCGGAGGTGGGGGCAGCATACGTATACAGGTGAGGCTGGCTTGGCAGGTGAGCGGGGGCTGGGGCCAGGTGTGGATGCCCCGTCGAGTGGAGTGGGCTGCCGTGCTGGAAGGTGTAGGGGGCTTGGGAGAGCGGGGCCACAAACGCCTGCTGTCTGCGGGGGGCAGGGTTGCTGCTTCTCTCCTGTGAGGTCGGCGCTGACGATGACTGCTGGTTCTGGAAGGAGTAAGAAGGCAGTGAGGAGCCTGGAGGCCGTGCTAGTCCAGGGGGCACCCAAGGCCAAGTTGAGAGTTGAGGTTCTAACCTGTACTGCTCCTGGGCTGCAACAGCACAGAAGCTCCCAGGCTGGCAATGCTGTCAGAAGTCAGCCTCCATCCCTCCACCTCTTGGCAGAACAGATCCTAACCCAGCCCAGAGAGCAGCAGTTTGCTCTGAAGTATGACAGAGGCAAGGGAAGGGGGGGGGGGAATCAAGAGTTCACAGGGTTACCCGCTCCTGCAAGTTAGTAACTGTTGACTCAACTCACCCTATTCTGGCGCCAGGGAATTTGAATTTTTCCTAACCTTTCTTTCTTGCCATTGTTTTCTTTTGTTCTCCTCTAAGTTCTTCATATCCCTCTTGACTTGTGGAGCCTAAAACACATGCACTAACTCGAATTTACACTTGCACTTGCATGTGCTTTCTTTCACATACATACACACACGTGCACACTCACAGTTACACCCTCATGTTTACACTTTCTTACTCCTGGTAGACATCATACAAGCACCAGAATTTTAGCTGAAGAAAGAGTGAATAGTTTGCCCCCTTTAGAAAGAGAATAGTGTCCCTCCCCACCCCATCAGATCTCATAGTGGTGTGTGTGTGGGGGGGGGAAATCCCAGACTCAAGCCAACACAGAACACTAGAACCAGTTGATGAAGTGGCCACAAAACTTTGTACTGTTTCTTGCCTCAAGTAATCAGGGTGAGGCTTAGGTTATTTATGACCTGGGAGATAAAGGAAGAGGTCTCATGTGGTGGTACAGAAGCAGGCAGGGAGGGACTAAAGCACCCATGACTCTTTCTAAATTCCAGACATTTCTCTAATCTTCCAGGACAGACTAGGGAAGTCTGATGGAAAACCTGGAATGTGCATCCTCAACACTCTTACAGAGGGAACAAAAGGACACAGCACATGCAGATATGACACAGGCCACAGAACACCAAACTGTCTGATACAAAAGGGGCTTCATTTGGCTTTATTCAGCAGTCCAGCCAGAAGCAGGGTTCTCCAGAAAGTGACAGTAGGGAGGGCCCCAAACAGAAGGCAGCAGCCCCTAGCGCTTACCTGGCTAAGGTTGAGTGGCTGTGCTGCACTGGTCCCCCCGCGTGGAACTCGATACCCTGTGGGGGTGATACAGCATCCAGATGACTGCCCACTCACTGAGGCCACTGGCTTGGTCTTACTGCTCAGGAGACCTGAGGAAGGGTCAGACCGTAGTCAGTTATGAGTGGCCTCAGTTAAACCTCAGATGGCAGCATATTCATCAGTCCACATTTGCATGAGGTTTGCAAGAAAGAGGTAAGGTTTCATGTGTATCTTATTTCTTTAATTACATTTACAGCAGAGGAACAAACACTGCAGAACCTAATTTTCTGTCTTACTACAAAGCTCCAAAAATGATCTTCGAAAAGAGTCTTTTTTCCTTCACTTTAGTAAATCTAGTCTCCTGTAATGTGCAAGACACTATTAGAAATACAAACACCAGTAGGACATAGTCCCCATCCCCAGGGACCCTAGGGTTTTATGTGGGAAAGGGTTAAACAAGTATAGACATGACAATGGGAAGCTGAGGAAGATGTTGGTGATCCTTAGAGGACACTGAGGTTTCAAAGGGGCTTTAAAAGAAGGCAAAATTAAATCTTTTTGGGCACTATCTTCAGGTTCTAAGAAACTGCAGGGTAGTTGGACATAAGCAGGATCAATTTCAAAATTTTGCTTCCTTCTGTGGTCCCACTAGGAAAACAGAAGCATTTATTCAATGATCTGTGGAGTAGCCGATCTTCCCTGGACCCCATGGTGGACAGAGCTCCTAACAACACTCGCCAGTAGCATGGCGTCAGGAAGTTCTGCCTTGCCTGCAATGGGACAGCTGCCTTCTTCTGATGGAGGAACCGTACCGAAGTTTAATGATATCCTGAAATCAGAACTCTGTTCGTGTCTCTGGCAGTAACATAATTCAGAGTAAAAGACTAACTAATTTAAGTATAGCACAGACACCAATTCATGCTCCTCTCCTTAAATGTATAAAAGCTGCCACTGGAAAACAACTGCCTAGATAAGGACTCTGTTTCCTGGGCCCCCAAACCTCTTGGTGGGGCCATGGAATTAGTTTGCACTGTTTCCAGGGCTTAAGAGGTAAAGAAATGTGTGTCCCTCCCCAAACTCTTTCCCTATCTCACTGGAGACTGAGGATTCCTGGGCTCTGATCCTTCACTCACTGTAGGCCCACCAAGTAGGAGCACTAGCACTGGGAAGTGAGTAAGAAACGAACTTCTATTATGTCAAGCCAGGGAGATCTGGGGCTTGTTACTGCAACTAGCATTACGTGATAACTAGGGAGCCTAAATCCAACATTTAACAGCAAAAAAGATGGAGGTCTTTAGGTTGATAATAAAACCATGAAAGTATCAATGCTATGACACTGGGTAAGAAAAGATCTAAGTATATCTTGTTTTCCAAACAAAAACAAAGATAAAAATGTTTGCAGTCATTTTTAATATTATCAGTTCCTGTTCACCCTGGATTGTCAAATTTGAATCGGCTGTGACAAAAAAAAAAAAAAAAAAAAAGCGGCCTGCTAATTCTCCCTGCCATATGACAGCTCGTCTGCCTTCTCCCATCAACAGATTATTTCTGAGACTACAAATTCACTTTTAGATTAATCCAAACAAAATAAACATAGTAAGATAAATTGATCACCAAAAATAATTTCACATCACAAGGAATGGATTTCCGGGATTAAGTAACTGGTTGCTACCACTGGCATAAGTAGACTAGCAACATATTAAGGTTATACTCATCAACACAGAATTCACCTGTGGCTGTGAAGATGCTCACCTGAGGCTTGGGTTGCTACTGTGCAGTCACCAAGCTGAGTTTTCAGTGGAGGCACAATGATGGTGCGGGTGCTAGCGCCATCCCCCACAACTCTGCCGGGCCCCTCCACAAGGGATCCACTATTGCCCCGGAGAGCACTCAGGGTATCAGTGGAATATGGGCTGCTCAAGGAAGAGTCAGAGTCTGGAGAGTCATTGACAGTGACATAACTGATGACATTTGACCTTGCCTTCAGGCCAGAGCTGAAGAGAAGAAAATACGTGAAAATTCAACTCCTGTTTAGCAATGTTTCTTTGATGCTCTCTGGTCCTCCCATGATTACAAGGATAATGACAGCGACAGAATAATACTAGCAGCGGTGAACTTCTGAGTGCTTATTATGCGTCAGGCACTATTCTTACACTCCACATATGTCTCACCAAATCCTCACAACACTTCTATGAAGTAGGTACTACCACCCGCATTTTGCAGATGAGGATGCTGAAGCACAGGAAGATTAAGACACTTGGCCAAGGTCACACAAGTGGTAAGTGGTGAAGACAGTACTCAGAGCCAGGACAGAACCATGACAGATGCACACCTCTAACAGCTCTTCTACGGTGCCTCTCCGCCATTTCCACTCACGGTTATTTCAATAGTATTCTTCAAGAACTACTTTTTCCCCATATCATCCTGCTAGACTAGAAAAGGTTCCTTATTATGTCTAATCAAACTTGCCATACTTTTTTTTTTTTAATGTTCCTTTACAAACTAAACTCCACCTCTTAACTTTAATTTTTCCCGAGTTTTGGAAAGAATTGGCTTCAGTCAAAGCAATCCTGCTGATTACATAATTTTAGCTACTACATGGTCACTTTTCCTCACTGGAAAGTTTACCTTTTCTCTTCCCCAAATCAGTTCAGAAACCACTTTTAAGACTTAGTTTCAAAGTCTACGTCCCATTTGTAAATACCATTTTGTTAACTGTAAATACCATTTGTAAGTAGCTCTCTTAAAGTACTTCATTCTAAATTTACTCTTTCAGTTCATTAAACTTCATTTATATAAAACTGCATGGTTTCTTAGTTACTGTCATGTGTGAATCTGAGACTACAAATTCACTTTTAGATTAATTCAAACAAAATAAACATAGTAACTACCTCCTCAGGTAAACATGGAGTTATTAAAAAAAAACAAAAACAAAAAAAAACATGGGGTTATTCCGTCTTCTTTATGCCTAACACAAAGGCCCAGTGAAGAATACAACACAGCATAATCAAAGCAATTGACTATGTTAGCACTAAGAGAGAGGTGTATGTAACAGTTCTTAAATGTATCCACTCTCTCTAGGTTAACTACCCAGTTAAGAACTTGGATTAAGGTGCTGAGATAAAAGGACATTCTTTGATACTTACATTCCTCAAATTTCAGACCACAAAGCAGAAGAAAAAGAAGTTGCACCTCTTCCAAAGAGGCCTTTGCAGATTAAGAAATTACAAATAATCTCCTGACTACTGACTTGTTCCAATTAATTGCTGTTTATATGCTTCTGCTACGGCATCTATTTTCAGACTCTAAAGGTCCTTAAAGGCAGGGAATCATGTCTGTGGTATAATGTGCATTCCAAGGCAAAGCAGCTGAATATTAAACAGCTTAATATCCAACCCCCTTCTAGCTAATGTATCTGAAAAGACTGATGATTTAACATGATGCTCAGTTGTGGAAACTTGAGTGTTCTGTCTCACGCATCCAAGACCATGCTTCCAAAAATACCATTTCTCAGTCCTTCCTGTCACAGCCCAAACTGGACCACTTGCCTAAAACCAAGAGTCTAAGCTTAAGGGTAGGAGCCAAGGAACCAGTGGGTCATTCACCTATCTTACCTGCTAGGCTTATACTTGTTGTCCTCTTCCTCATCAGTGTCACTGCGGATGGTGATGACACTCACAGGAGGGCTGGGAGTATCTGGAATGATGATAGGCTGATGCTGATCTGGGACAGGAACTAGGGAATTATAAGATGTGGTACGGAGGGGACTGCTCCCAACCAGAGAATAGACTTGAGAAGGCAGAACGTCCAGAGAAGACCTGTAAAAAAAGGTCACAAGGAAAGACCGCTCAGTCCTTGGCCCCCCAAACCATCCATCTTTTCCCCAGAACTCTTTCCAGCTTGTTCTTTAATTCATTTTTACCTAATCATTAAGCCAATACACTTAACTATAGAAGTTCCAATAAATAATAAACTAGTCGTGCTAGCCACAGTTTCCACCAGGGACAGGAACCCTAAAATACAACATAAATTTTATTTTTGTATGCCCATTACTCCACGGTTAAATTTCACTCTGTAATGTGGGCAGAGAAATAACAACATTGGCATAAAGATGGCCTGGATTCAAAGTAGCAGCAGAGAGAAAGGATGTGCATAACCAGGACGCACCTGGTATGCATGCCCAAGTCTCAGAAAAGGTTATTAGCTCCTCCTCAATTCGGCAGCCACTTGCTGCTTCACATCAAAAATCTATACCATGGCACTTTAAATGCTGGCAACATCTTTCCCAAACTGGCAGTTTTATCTACCAGTTCTAGCAGAGACTTACTTTGAAGAGACTGGAGCAGACTGCTTATTCTTCTTGGAAGGGAGAGAACTGGATTGCTGTTGTCTGACAACATGGGCAACACCAACATTCAGGGGCTGAGCAGTGGCCAGTGTCACATGGTTAGTCAGCAAGGAGGGCTGCTGCATGATGGTGCTGTACTGGCTACCATGAGAATGGGCATTCCTGTTTCAATGGAAAGACACAGAGAAGACTGAATACTTCAACCACTGGGAAATAGGACCGAAAAGGTATCAAAAGCAATGAAACAACCAAATAGAGCTACATTTTAAATTGGGCACCTGAATTATACAAGGCTATAGTTACTAATTGACTAATAAGACTTTCTTTAAATCTGAAATAAATGATTCCCGATCTCAGAACCTACTGTTTTCCTATATTCAAAATTTTCTCATTACTCCATCTCCTAGTCTAATAAGGATTCTTTTCTTAAAGAATCTGAAACAAAGATGCATCTCTCCTTTCCTTCATTTTCTTCCCAGTCTGACCAAATCATCAAACACTCCTGCCATAAGGGATCTGTCCTTGCAAATCTCCCAGAGAAGAACACTGGGTACTTGCCTCCAGTCTGTGAGCTGCTGGCCACTGCCCATGGCCTCTGGAATCACTGCTGTGGGCTGGACAGAGTTGTGCAGAGCTACCCCAGGCAACTGTTGCCAAGTTGAAGGCAGGAGAATTTGTTGGGTTCCTCCAGGCCAAGCCTGCTGTAAGGAAAGACACACAAAAAGAACCAGACTTGACTCATTCTTGGCTTTTTCTTTTGTTTTTCAGATGAAAGAAAAATTCATATCTTAAGAGAAGTTGCCCGTAGATTGTTAACTTGCAGAGATCAAAAAAAGAAAAGTCAGAGGGGCTCAAGGTTACAAGTCTTACAAACAGGGAAAGACAACACGCTGCTTTCTGTCAGCCACCTCTTTAACATGACCACCAGGGTATTAAAGAAAAGAAGATCCCTGTGGTTAAGAGTTTCTGTAATATACTGTAGAGTCAAGGAGTCTGAAAGTTCAGAGGTAAGCTCTGGTTAAATGATGGAGTTTCATTTTTGCAATGATTCTAAAAATATCCCTAGAAAGAGTTAAGACAGCTCCCTTGAGATTAAAAATAGGAATTTTAAAATTTAACTGCCAATCAGTTAAGACATCAGGTCAGTTCAACCCATAAAACAAAGGGGAGAATTGTGCCTTTTTAAAAGGGTAGAACTTGGAACACAGAACCAGATGTGGATGACCAAAGGCCAAAATCCTTTGGCAAACAAGCTTATGTTAGCAAGAGAAAGCTAACTTCAACATATATAGCCATATGATAGAATGAAATAAGGCAGTAAGTAAAATATTTCCATAATAGATGCAGGGAGCACCATATTTTGCTTTTAATAGTTACCTAAAATATACTGTTTAATGTATCATTTATAGAAACATACTTCAACACAAGAACTAATCACTACAAGAAAATACATCATTTCTAGTTTTTAACAAGCGCTTGCAGTAGATAGCAACAAATATGTTTTCTGAACTTCTTAGAGAAATTCTGGCATTTTCTGAAAAAATGGGAACAGATTTGAAAGTTTCCTTTTTAAACTTAAATTCTACAGTACAATCACCTACAATGCTTGGGTACATATGGTTCTTTCTTGAATTTCAAACTGCAAGGCCATCAACACACTGTTTTAAAAATATTTCTGCAAGTAACAGATCCACTTGTTACAAATACCGGTTCCAAACAAGAAGCCTTCAAAGCAGAGAAACTGCAAACACGTCTGCTACCATAAGCAGAATTTAAAACAAAATAAAACAAAACAAAAAATAAGAGAAGTATGTTAAGTCACACCATGCGTCTTTCCATAAGCCAACACCTGCACAAGACAAAGCATGTAGTTTAATACAGAGCAAGAAATAACATTCCAACGTGAGGCAGAAATCTGGCGTTCCAAGCGACGAACTGTTTTGACAGAGGAAGAACAAAAATATGCAAAGCTTAGCAAATGACTAGTGCAAACTTAAGAGAAGCAGCAAAGGAGAAGTTTCAACTAACATTCTCAAAACTATAGGTGAGCAAGTTAAAACCAGTGGCTTGGATCAATCAAGTTTGGAAATGTATCTGACTCCCTCGCACTCAGGTTTTATGCGTAGGATATAATTAATCTGGAGGTTGACGAAGACTTTTAAACTAAAACCAAACAAATTCCAACAACCAAAGTATGTTTCTGGAAGTGTTTACACTCACATGAGTCCTTGAGAAACAACAAAAGAAATGCAAAGCCACTTTGAAAGATGTAGATATCAGTATTCGATAGTATCAATAAGGTTTTTCTAACTTTAAATTTCAAATAACGAAATGCTGGGATGTCCAATAAACAATGCTAACTCCCCCATATAAACCAAAACACATCCAAAGACCACTCTGAAGGGTACAAATCCTGAAACACACCCTGAGGTGCTATTTGTTTTTCCTATCTCTAAGCCCCATAGTATTATATTTGCTGCTGTATTTAATAACTTTTCCCCAGGACTTGCAGTAACAAAGGTATTGCATTTACATAAAGGTTTTTGGCCATATTTTTTCACCTTTGTATAAAGACCTATTTGTAAAGTCATTAATTTCTCCATAAACCCCTAAAAATGAGTTCACCTTTAATCTCAACCAACACATGAAATATGATCTAAAAAGATTCTAAATGGAACATCTTTAAATGGAAGATATAAGCTGCCATCGATCATGAATGGCGAAAAGAGTTACCTTCATGTGTTCAGAGAAGGAAAGTTAACATCATCTGATAAAGTAGTGAATTAAGAGCATCTTAAACATTTCTACATTTACAAAAATTTTAGAAGATTAAAATAGAAAATAAAGAAGGAAGCTAACTTGCCAAGGAGTTCAAATTTTGGCCATCCGGATACCTGCAGCAGAGCCAAACTAAAGGCCATTTCCTTCATTCTCAAGGATCAGAGGGTAAAAGGGCAGAAAACAGATAACAGTGTTGAAGTTCTTCTGAGACTACACCAAGAGCTTTTATCACACTAGGCTGCCAAAGAAGAATAAAGCGATCTGGCTCCTTACAGAGCCACACTGAATATCAGAGTCAAACAGTGCTTCAGCAAATGTTGGGGAGGAAAACGATGAGACATTAAAAATGTAGCAAGAACACAGCCACAAGATGGCACATGCTTCCATGCCCTCTGCAAAGACTAAGTTAAAAAAAAATTTTTCTTTTGAAAAATGAGAAAACCAGAAGAAAACAGAACAAAAACAAACAGGAAAAAATAAAAAAGAAAGAAACCAAAGAAACTCCGTTAGTAACACAATCAAGTGAGGGAATTACCAGTACAGCGGCAGTCTGTTCAACCAGCGCCGGCCGGCCGGCTGCGCAGCTCAGAGTAAAGGGCACCGCATACTGCGGTGTGATGGTGGCTACTTGAGGGTGGAGAGTTGCTACCATTAGTGGTGTACAGCTTCCCTGCAACGTAGATTAGGCAGGTGAGTGAAACAAACACGGAGGCAGGTTATCTGGATTCAGAAGGGTTCTCAATCCCCCCAAGATATTACCAACAAGTAGTAATTTTGTATCACCTAAAATGCATGTACAAACACAACTTTCCCCTTCAACTCTGCACAGGCATCAGCTCACTAGGTCATATGTCAAGGCCTAAAGCGATAAAGGATAGGAATCCTTCTTGGGCCAGATTCAGAAGATCGGTTCTACAAAACTCAGTTAACAAAGGCATGTAAGAATTCCTCTTCTTCCTACTCACAAAAGAAGAGTTTTGGACTTCCAAATTTCCTCTGTGTCATGGGCCACAAACATTTACACATAGAATTGAAAACATAGTATCTGTTGCTTATTTGAGTCTTTCACGATTTTCTTGCCCATCTTGGTTGCATGTCCCATGGCTAGTAGAAAGTTTTAAGGCTTTCTCTAGCTTAAACACACAGAGTGAAGGAATGTAATACTTGAAGAGGCATCCTGATATGATCCAGCCTCTCTGCCATGATGTCATTCTGAAAGAGTGAGCAAAGGGGACACTAAATGGAACAAAAGGGGGAATATCTTTAGAATCAAAATGTTGTTACATGTGTATGAAAAATTAACTTCATCTCACAAAATCTGAGTAAGTTTACTCAAAACACAATGACTCAAGGTCTGGGTATTTATTCCTGTAAGTAAGTCTAAGGAAGACATTGGCAAAAATTGTAATAGTATTAGGAATGAGGAATCATTCAACTATAGATGTTTCATTTTAAGTCCACTGAATCATGACCAAGAAAGATATTATGGTCAAAGCAAATACCACCTTCCAGGACAAAATATCTGCATCTCAATAGTGCTTCAGTGATACTGAGTATCCAAATTGTTATGGCTTTTACCTGCGTAAGAACTCCTGACTGTATTTGTAGTGGCTGAGCAGCTGGCGCCTGGGGTACTATTGGCACAGCATTATCCATCCTCACAGGGAATCCAGAATGTTTTGTTGTTGCTTGTAACCCAGCTGTAGAAAACAACAACACAGTTAAATTGCTTTGTTAGGTCTGCAGTATTGTTTGTTTATTTTGTTGTTGTTGTTTTTAGCTTTTCTGTTCAAATAATCGACCACCCGGGTTAGTTTTAGACGTGTAAGACAAAGGCATTTCATAGAAGTCTAGGGAGTTAAGAAAAGGGAGAGTGGTTTGGTTCCTTTGAGGTTAAATTCATGGAAAGATGTCTGATACACGAAGGGACAGTTAAGGGAATTCTAAAAAATTTTTTATCCTGCAACACTTATAGCACCCATCCCATTCCCCCATTAATAGCATATGCAAAAGCAAACAAACCTAACACTTATTAAGTTACATTCACCTTTTAATCCATTAGGAGGAAAAAAAAATATGTTTACACATAATCTACTAAAAGCAAAGACTTGAAAATAATTATAACTTTTCATTAAATTATGATTCTTAATTAGTTAAGAAAATTGATCATTACTTATTACGTTACCCTTTCAGAATATTTTAAGATGTTTTACCCTACTCCTCAAAAAATTTACAAACTGTATGTTTTACCTACCATGTGAACTGAAGAAATTATAACCCAGGATAAAAATATTTAAAAAGTAGATATATTTATTTATAGAAACACTTTTTTCTATTTACTTTAGGAATCTGCCTTTGCCATTGACAGCTTTCTAACAAGGCTCTTCTGCAACTAACGGACAACTAAAAAAAAAAAAATCGGGAAGTTTTTTGCTGCCTTGCTCTGGGCACAAATGCATATTTGCATTCTCTGCAAATAGGAATTTCTTATTCTGGGGAAAAGAGGGGCTTAAGATAGTTCTCCTTTTTGCCAAGACTTGAGAAGAGAGATTTCAAAGCTTTCTTTTAAACCTGTCCTATCAAAACCTTCAACATGGAGAATTTAAGCTTCTATTATCTACTAACAGAAGTTTCTCTAATTCACCAATGCCTGCAGTTTTGTTAAGTGGGGATACATTTAATTTTAATTAGAATATTTCTTAAGTGACACTTCTTAAGCTATCACCAACTAATTTCTCTTATTATTACTATGGAGATAGCAAATAAGCATAACTCCTAAACTCTAATACTGTACTTTTCAGCAAGTCTCCCAATTTTCCATTTCAGTGATTTGCAAGTATCTTAGCAGTAAGATGTCATACTGGAAAACACAATCCAAAAATACACAAAGTAAGAGAGACTAGTAAAATCAGAATTAAAATGCTCTAACAACTTTTCTTTTCTTTTTTTAATTAATTTTATTGGTGTTCAATTCTCTAACAACTTTTCAAAAGTGCCGTTCATAAAAAAAAAAAAAAGTAACAAATCCAGATATCCAAATCAAAAAATCTGCCAGCCATAAGGCAATGCTATCTAATAAGATAGCTAAACAACATCAAAATTCTTGTCTAAATTCCCAGGACACATGGCCAACTACAAGACAACATTACTATAATAGCCTCCTATAAGTAGGCAGGAACAAAGGGCAAAGGCAGGTAAAATTTAGAAAGAAATGTTCATGATAAAGGTTCACCTATAAGTTCCAGGATAATGAAGTAAAAGGGGACAAAGTAACAGAATAAAATCATTACCACTGAGCAAACTGTGTATCTATTTTGGTCAACTGGAATAGTATAGAAAGTAGTATTTATAGTACTGACCTACAAATGTAACTAAATAAGCATTAGATTCCTTTCCTAATTTAGGCTAAGCCACAGCAGTTAAGCTAGTTTAAAACTTCCTTCTTCAGGGAACTATAAGTGGAAACAAAGATTAACAAAAGGCAACACTTTTGGAAGGTTCTCCCTAAACCCTGAACTACGAAATGATTCAAAGTTTTGCTTTGCTTTTGTTGTTGTTGAATACAACCTGTTAAATAAAAATAAAAAAAAATAAAAAAAAACATGGTAGTATGGAAAGAAGAGTAAAACTGTCTAATTGACGAGGGTCGTCATTTTTCCTCTAAGTATATAGTATATTGTAAAAAAGCAGATGGTGAAAGAAAAGAAGGCAACCTGGAATAGCCAACTGCTGGGCAGAAACCAGCATATGGCTGTGGCTGGCAAATCAACTGACAACTCTTTACAGCTAAGTTTAAATACTAAGAGGTGGTACAGAATATTTCAAAATCCATAAGCCATGAATCCCACTGCCTGGGTTCAAGTCCCTGTTCTACCACTAACTAGTTATTAAAACTTTGGGTAGATGAGAGAATAATTCCATTTTCTCACCTATAATGGGACAGAATGACATTGGGCATAATGACATTGCCCACTTCCTAGGGTTGTTTGTGAAGATGAATTAATACATGTAGAAACAGAACATTATCTGGTGTGTACATAAGAGCTATTTGCATCTGCATTACCTTAATTTAAAAACTCCCTTTTGTCTGGAAATTTTAGGATTTGCTCTAGCTCCTCAGGTTATTCAGACTTCCTAATTAGAAAAAAATTTTCCCAAACTTACACTTATCTAATTATACCAAAAGGAGTTACACCACTTTCCCCCTCTACATCAAATCTACCTTTTGTTTTATTAAAGGAACTAAAATGTTCTGCCTCCTCTCGTCAATATCCCAAGAAGCAGCAAAAGACTTCTGAGTCCCACATATGAAAACTGTTCCCATGAGACTCACTTTGGAAAAGGTGAGGGGGAGGTGGGTGGCTGGTTTGCTAAATTCAGTAGAAAAATCACTCAACATATAACAACCCAAAGGTATAGAATTTACTATTATGTAGCAGACGCAGAAAATAATTTGGTAAGTTAGGCTAAATTTGCATTTACGGGTTTTGAATCTGCTCCTCCGCTCTCCCTGTGGTTTCTCCCTGGTTTACATCGCTATTGCTCTCCTGTCCTCCCGGTAATCTCTCAGTCTCCCCTAGCCCCTCTTTTCCTTCTGCTTGCTCCGACTCTGTCAGAAACCAAACAAGAGAGTCACAGTCAATAAGTAACTAAAGTAAAAAGATAAAAATGCTACCTGCTTCTATTTAAAGTGCTATGACACACCTAAGTCCTAATTTATTACCACAAAGTACTAATGCTGACTTTCTGTTGGGAAAGTCAAGTGTGTTGTCAGGATTTATCCTTAAAATAATTTAACCTTTTAAATGGTTCACCATATCAATAAACACATTTCCCATATTTTGGAAAAAAGGAACTGCATAGACTCAATTATAGAACAACAATGAAAAAAATGAGGAAGGATGGGAAAGTGAAAATTTAAATCTTATTGCAACACATGGGGTCAGAGCCTCCTTCCTCAGCTATTCTGTTCCTTTGCGGATAGGAGTTTGCAGGAACAATATGATTCATAAGCTGAAGCACATAATTTTAATGCACTCCCCACACAAATACCTCAGCTTATAGAATTTTTCAGTTCAATAAATAATAATCTTTATTTTTGGATATAATTCATGAGGTTTCTATATCCTTAAGTATAATTTTTTTACATTTTAGAATAAAATTACCTTTTATTTGGAATGCTAATTTTATCTAATAATGGAATGATACAGGAAATAAGAATCAATATAGAATTTGTTTACAACAAATTTCTTCAAGCTTAGTATTTCTGCATATTGATAAATACATGCTTAAACAAGGTATAGGACACTGGTACAAGGTCTCAGTGGGCAAGAAATTGACACTAGGGCAGTTCAAATATGAAAATGTTCATTGAACTCCCATAATATGTCAGTATCATAATTAGATAAATAACCAATGTAAAAAGGGTAAACCTACTTTGTTAATTTCAGTTATCTTCATATTCAGAGACAGAATTTAAAGTTGTCAGAGATCAAAACTAAACAGCTAGATACCTACACTAAGGAACTACCTAAAGCAAGATTTGTAGGTCTGATATGATACCATTTAATATAGATGTTTCCCCACTTACTCTGAAAAGCAGGTGGACATACTATAAATGTTTGTTGGAACGGATCTGTCTGAGTGCAAATTTGAGTGGTTCCAGGCTGCAAGGATACGCCCTGCTGGGCAACCCCAGGAACTGGTGCTGCAGATGATGGGTACAGAGCCGACTGGTAGTTTAGCAGTGAGACATCTGAATTAGCCAGAGAAAGTGTAGCAGCTGCTGCAGTAGAACTGGAAGCTAGAACACTGGCCTAAAAACAAAAAAATTATAGTTGTACACTGGTATAAAGTGGAAAGAACTAACAGTATTTTTACACATGCAGAATCCATCCAGAAAATCTTAAAACAGAGTTTTGAAATTCAGTATTAACTATCCCTTAAATAATTCTCTGCTTAAGAAATTTTCCCAATCTCCAAATTTAAGGTATATTATAAGGTTGAATAAGAAAACAAAGAATTAAAAAATGGTCCTACACTGACTGAGGACAGCCTCATCTTTCTTTCTGTGCGAAAAAGTTGCTGGGTGTGAGATACCACCAAATCTCATTTTAAAAGTAGTCCTAGCTAAGAAATTAGAAAGCTCACATTTTCAATAACAAATGTAAATATTCCACTTGGCAAACAAATGCAAAACTACTTTTTTTAAAAAAAATTTACTTATTTATTCATGAGAAACTGGGGGTGGGGGCAGAGACACAGGCAGAGGGAGAAGCAGGCTCCATGCAGGGAGCCTAATGCGGGACTCGATCCTGGGTCTCCAGGATCAGGCCCCGGGCTGAAGGTGACACTAAACCGCTGAGCCACCTGGGCTGCCCCAAAACTACTCTTCAGGTTAGTTATTGGAAACACCAAACTGAACTTTTAGAAACAGTGAGCAGATTGGTGGTTGCTAGGAACAGGACAACAGGTGGGAGAGAAAATAGGTGAAGATCGTCAAAGAGTACAAACTTGCAGTTACGAGATAAGTAAGTTCTGAGGATCTAATGTACAGTATAGAAAAAAATTACGAGAGGGACGCCCGGGTGGCTCAGCAGCTGAGTGTCTGCCTTTGGCTCAGGGCATGATCCTAGGGTCCGGGTTCGAGTCCCGCATTGGGCTCCTTGCAGGGAGCTTGCTACTCCCTCTGCCTGTGTCTCTACCTGCCCCCTCTGTGTCTCTCATGAATAAATAAATAAAATCTTTAAGAAAAAAATTACTGGAAACTCCTTTCAGTACATGTAATGAGATATATAAAATCTTTCCAAAAGAGAAAGTTAGTGGCTAAAGTCAGCACAACTAACAGTGGGAAGTAGTACAAAAGCTATGGTCTGTTTATGGGACTATGCTAAGACTGAAAGCCTGGATTAGGTCTTTGTATTTAATTTTCGGTGGCACATGACTGGTAGGTATCATCAGTCTACTTGGTCTTCCATCACTTTTGCCATGTAAAAAATGTGAGAAGCAACAAGATCACCAAAGCAAAGACTGGTTTCTTTATCCCAACCTGTACTCTTACTACTCTCTACCCCACTTAGGTTTTTAGTTTCCAAAATCATTTACTGAATACCTGATTGTGCACTGTATTAAGCTGGTTGCTGAAGCTCATGGTTAGATTTGTGCTTGTATTTGGGGCAACATGAGTAGTAAAGGGACTCTTGATCTGACTCACTGTATCATACATGTGAACCCTCCGCTTGCAGATCTCCATATTCTGAAAGCAAGACTTAACACTGAAAAAAGAGATTAAAGTTTCAGTAAAATGAATACTGAGATTTAAAGAGATAACAAATAACTCAAGATGAATACAGATCAACATTTTTCCCCCAAGAGTATTCAGATAAAATGAATCAAGAGTTTTTATAACCATAAAGAGAAAAAATATACATCCTAAGTCTCATGATTTTTCAATGATAAAGGAAAGCATCAGTGGGCCAAATATGCAAAGTACCAAGGTTGCTGCTTATGTGATCATTCCACTGAGCTATAAGATGGTAACTCAACAGAGAACCACACCATGGCAAATGCCCAGAACATACTCACTGATTGCTATGTGGAAAATCCAGAAGGTGAGTCATTGTCACAAACTGATGGTTAAGAGTTTTCAGAGGAGTAATTCTCTTATCTGCATCAATTGTTAGCATTTTTTTTAACAGATCAATGTATTCTCTTCGATCTGCCTTCTCTGCCAACATATCTGTTCCCTCCAAATCTGTGGACATATTCACCTTTCAAGGAAAATTTAGAAATATTATACTTCATCACTTAACCTTTAAAGCTGACACTAAACATCTGCATAACAGATAGACAGACATAGATCTCAAGAGAAAAACCTGAGGAAATTCTTTTTAATGATAGTATAATCATTTTCACAAGTGGAAGCTCTTCTTATGCTAATTAAAATCTTCAGTTTGGTAGAATTTGTGGCAGAATAAAGCTGAATGAAGTCTTTTCACTCAAAATTTGGATGAACAAGTTAAGCAAAAGCAATTATTATTACTTAAATATTAAAATTTCTATTGTTGAAAAGATTAAATGATATAGTTAAGTAAAAAGTGTTTAGACAGAGTTTGGAACATAATATGCACTCAATTAAGTTCTTACGTCTTTATTTAGCAGAGAAAAAAGACAGGAAAGAAAGCTTCATAAACAATATTTCAAAATAATGACAGGTAACAAGACCAGTTAATCAAATGTAAGGGAGAAACAGATAATTCTACAAGTATCCTTGGTTAGGATTCAAATGTTCTTTTAATACATGGCAGAATATTAATGAACTTTTTTCTCTAAAAAATGAAAGCAAACTAGAAGATAACAGATTAAATCTATTTTTTAATATAGCTAATAAATGGAAGTATGTCTCTGATTAAGAGATATGTAAAAGTCTGGCTTCCTTAAACTTTCTCTACTCACCTGAGCCATGTCATCTAAACAATTAAAAATGTACTTTCGAGCTTCTTTTGATTTGATTCCAGTCTCCAATTCATGTTCTTCCGGTGTCTATAAAATACAAATTAAAAAACAAAATTCCATCGGTACTTTATTTTCATATTTTGTTCTAAATTAAAGCCAAAATACAAAGAAACAATTGTCATCACCTGCCAACCAGAAATGGCAAACATGAAAGTAATTTACAACCAAAAAATCTGGTGGAGATGGGACCTGAATATCTGACTTCCCTTTCAACAGTGTTAAATAAAATGTGGAATCAATGATGTAGCATGATGGTTCCTGAAAATGTCATGTAAGAGGGGCACATTATCATTTTTCTCTTAAAGTTACTTCAAATTAAATGACATTTCAAATGCTAGCTATTAAACAGGCAGGCTCAGGCGAAGAGATTCACAGGGTTATTCAAATTACTCAGAGATCTCTCAAGCTAAAGGCTCAGAAGTAAAAAGCAGGCACTGGCATTTGTTTCATGAAAATATATAAGGCCTTAGCATGGGGAATTAGGAAATTATGTTTTCTCCTATTTATTGAGAATTCTCTAAAAAACAGTCATTGCTAAATTACTCTAGTTCTTCCTGTGACTTAATGGTGAGCACTATTCTCCATACTCCCCTCTTAGCTGCTGGTTCAAATACACAAAATAATCTCAGACAACCAAACAGGTGTTTAGTTTATTTTTTTAACTAAGGATCAGGTCGAACAGGTACAACAAAATAATTTTTCCAAGTACTTCTTTCTGCAAACATAATTCCCACCACCACCACCACCACCTCTTTTCCCTCCTCCATCTCAAGAATTTAGTAACTAAAAAGTTGGGAGTGAGGAGTACAGGAATGGGTAGTATAAAAAGGGAGACAGACCTTCAGCCTCCACAGTGGATACCCCAAATTAGGATCTCTGTTGAAAAACCTGGTTGTTTTTGTCCCAGCACTGAGAAGATATTCAGCAGGCAGGCCTTGTGTTTGTGAAATGTAACGAATCTGAAACATCAAAACCATTAAAACACTGATGTGGAGTGAAAAGGAAAATATTAAAAACTTTTACACTAAGACATTATTAGCTCTAGCCAAATCAACATAAGTGAAATTTATCTGTAAATACATATTTATGCTAACCCACTCACAGGTAATTCCCAAATATTTATTCAGTTGTTTCTATGTTACTAAAATTGTTATTTACAAGGAAAATTCAGTTTTGAAAATTTTGTGTGTAACCATTTTTGCTTTTTTGTAGACCTCTGATACACAGTTCAGAAAACTTCAGGAGATTTTTAGGACAGAACAGAATAATTTCCAACAAACTACCTCATGGATCACCAAGGGATTTTGTTTCATTTGTTGATACATTACCAAATTTAAAAGATCAAGAAAACATTTTTTTTATAAGCTACTTTCTCCCTTAACTATTCTAGCTCCTGTCAATTGTCCCTACTCTAAATTGCCATAGAGTTTTTCTCTCACATCATAAAATTAAACACTTAATTTAGCTTCTCTATCCCTACATTACTAGAGAGCAGGCACTGTGTTCATTCAATCAACATTTACTGAATACCTACTATGAACTAGGCTAGCAGTTCTCAGTCCGGTGTGGGGACCCTTGGTGATCCCTAAGATCCTTTCAGGGAGTCCACGAAGTAAAAAACTATTTTTTAAAATAATACTTTTCTGCCTTTTTCATCCCCTTCTTAGGGTGTACAGTAGAGATTTCCAGAGAGGATGTGTGATGACGTCATTGCTCTAATGGCTAACAAAACATGTTCTTATATATACTTGTTTTAAAAATTTCCCAGTTTTATTGCTCACATTTGTTTGCTTCCACAATTCTAATGACCCAGAAAGCAACAGAAGAAGTAATTTGCTTTTCTCTCCACTACTGAGAGTGATACAAGAAGTAATCTTTTTTACCACCTCCTCCATATTTGAATGGCTATACTTAAGATTAAATTAGAAAGCAGGGAAATAAATCTTACTTTCCACCTCTCCTCCTAAAAACTTTAGTTTTAGTGTCTTTTTAAGTTATACTTTTTATTTTATTATTTTTTAATAAAAGATTTTATTTATTTATTTGAGAGAAAGAGAGAGAGAGAGAGAGAGAGAGAATGCAAGCTGGGGTAGGGGCAGAGGGATAGGGACACAGAGAGAGAGAATCTCAAGCAGACTAAGCATGGTGCCTGAGGCGGGGCTCGATTTTAGGACCCTGAGATGATGACCTGAGCCGAAATCAAGAGTCCATGCCTAATGACAGCCACCCAGGTATGCCCAGTTTTAATTCCAAATGCAGTATATACTAATATATATAAGCTATACAAACAGAGCTCTTTGGGATCCTCCCCAATTTTTTATCAGTGTAAAGCAAAGGTCAACAACCTATGGCCTATAGGCCAAATCTAGCCTGCTATCATGAGCCAATTTCAGATAAAAGCAGGATATTACTCTTGATCTGTGAGACCTACGTAATGGAAGCTAATACATCATTAACAAAATAGAAAATATATTTTAATGTAGATAAGAACATTTTAAATGTGAATATCTTTTGTGTACAAAAATGGTGAAAATTTTTTTTAAATCGAGGATAAAATCTGTGTAATAAAATATTACCCAGACATTTAAAATGACAGAGTAGAGGGGGCACTTGGGATGGCTCAGACACAGTTAAGCATCTGACTCTTGATTTTGGCTCAGATCATGACCCCAGGGTCTTAAGATCAAGTCCCAGGTTGGTACTAGATGTGCTAGGCATGGAGCCTGCTCACGATTCTCTCTCCCTCTCCCTCTCCCTCTCCCTCTGCCCGTCCTGACCCTGCTCATTCACATGTGCACATTCACACTCTCAAAATAAGTAAAATAAATAAAATGACAGAAGTAGAAGTATCTTTATTGACACATAAAGATATTTCACAGTATATTAAGTAGAAAAGTAGATTACAAATTAAATAACCTCACTTTTTAAAAATATCACATTTCACTGATTCTAAGAGGCACATTTTTTCACACTAACATCTTTGAAATCAAGGTAAGTCTTACAACTGATAACTATCCTGATTTAATTAGTAACATTCTTTCTTACAGATACAGAAAAACGGTATATCTTTGAATCAATGGTGTCTTAGATATAACCAAATACAGTATATATGCTTATATATATGTTTATTATCCCTATATCCCTAAGTTTATTGTGTGCAACAGAACTATATATAGCACATATATTCATTCATTCTTTTAGTAAGTACGTGTTGAGCCAGGCACTGGTGATTTTAAAAATAGATATGGTTCCTGCTCTCATAGACCTTGCAGTCAAGTGAGGGAGACAGATACTGAAAATTCAAACTGAATTGGCATTCTGGGGGAAAAAAAAAAAAAAAAGGCTTCTATAAAAATAACAACAAAGGAACCCAAGCTAGACTAGGGACTAGTAAGGAAAAGCTCCTTGAGAAAGTAACACTTGCACTAATGAATCAGTAGGCACTGACTAGATGAAATGAATGGGTGGTGCTATAAGACTATAAGCACAGCGTATATAAGAGCCTGTGCTGGAGGGAAGCATATTCTTAACCAATGCTGAAATGATGCCAATGGTGCTAGAGGATGAAAAGCAAGAAAAAACGGTAGAATATCAATCTAGAGGGAGACAGACAGGGGACGGACAACCCAGTTAGGGGCTCAAAGGCCATATTAAGGATTTAGCCCTTTATTCTAAAAGAATAAAAAAAAAAACTGAAGAGCAGGGAAGTAGAATGATCTAATCTGTGTTCTGTAAAAATCACTTTGTAAAAAAACTGGAGATCTCAATCATATTATATAATTCTTATATGTTATATATAAAACTATTACATAGTTATTTAATATCTATTTCCCATCACCAAATTATAGCCTCCATGAGGGCAATACAATGCTTTAAGCAGCACTATATCCCCAGTGTCAAGTAGGTACTCAATAAATACACGATGAAAATTAACAAATTACATACATAAATAAATACAAAATATGCCAAATCATAAACAGGGTTACTTCTGAAGGATGGAACTACTAGAAGTCGGAAGTTTTATCTCTTGGCTTACTGCATCTTTTCTAATTTTTCTGTAATGATGCACTTAAAAATTAAAACATTTAAAAATTTTAATATTATAGAATGAGTTTCATTGTGAAAGTAGAATGGAAAGCTATCATCCAGATACTGCTTCCATAGCTTACAATGGAGCAAAAACAAAAGTCCTACATTTATACAAAGTATTACTGTCATGTTATATTAAATGATTAAAATGTTTCCAACAAATCTGAAGCTATTAACTAATATTTCAAAAATCATATCTGCTATAAAATCTCAGCTATAATATTTATGAAAAATCTATAGCTGATATACTACTTAATAGTGAAAAACTGAATACTTTCCCCCTAAAATCTGGAACAAGAATTTCTGTTCTTCTATTCAACACTGTTACTAGTGCTTCAGTGCAAAGCAATTAGGCAAGGGAAAAAAAAAAAAAAAAAGGAATCCAGACTGGAATGGAAGATGTAAAACTATTTTTATTTGTAGATGGCCTGATCTTGTAGATAGAAAATTGTAAGGAACCCATCAAAACAATTAGACCTAGAGTTCTATCAGAAAATTACTTGAGGGGCATTGGATGGCTTAGTCAGTAGAGCATGCAACTCTTGATCTTGAGGTCATGAGTTTGAGTCCCATTTGGGCATAGATATTAATTAAAATTAAAAAAGAATCTTGAAAGAAAGAAAACTACTAGAAAAAGAATTCAACAAGGCTGCAGAATACAGTATCAATTACAAAACTCATTGTATTTTTATAAACTAGCAATGAACATTCTGAAAATAAAATTAAGAAAATAATTCTATTCACATAGCATCAAAAATACTTATAAATAAATTTAGTAAAAGTAATGTAAAACTTATACTCTGAAAATTACAAAATGTTACTAAAAAAAAAAACTAAAAATTCTGGTCACATTTATGGGATCAGAAGATAAATATTAAGATGATGATACTTCCCAGAGATCCAATATATTCAACTATTTAAAAAAATGACAACTTTTTTGCAGGAAAAAAAAAAAACCTACACTAAAATTCACATGGAATCTCAAGGGCCCTTGAATAGCCAACACAATCTTGAAAAAGAACAAAGTTAGAGGACTAACACTTCCTGGTTCAAAACTGACTACAAAGCTACAGTAATCAAAACAGTGTGCTACTTGCATAAATACAGATGTACAGATCAATGGAACAGAACTGACAGTCCACAAGTAAATCATGTATTTATGGTCAATTGATTTTCGATAAGGATACTAACACAATCCAGTAGGAAAAGAACAGTCTTATAGGCAAATGGTTTTGGAAAAACTAAATATCCACATGCAAAATAATGAAATTGAATCAACTTAAAATGGCTTAAAGACCTAAATGCAAGACATAAAACTATAAAGCTCTTAGAAGAAAGCATATAAGAAAAGCTTCACAACCTTGGAATTGATAATAATTTCTTGGATATGATACCATAAGTACAATCAACAAAAGGAAAAACGAATTGGGCTTCATCAAGATTAAAAACTTTTGCGCAAACTAAGCTATCAATAGAGTGAAAAAGCAATCCCAAGGAATGGGAGAAAGTTTTTGCAAATTATGTATATCTGATAAGGGATTAATACCCAGAACACAAACTTCCACAACTTAACAACAACAAACAACCTAAATTCAAAAATGGGCAACGGAGGGATACACAGGTAGCTCAGGGTTTGAGCCTTCAGCTCAGGGCATGACAGGTCTGGGGATCCAGTCCCACACTGGGCTCCTTCTGGGAAGTCTGCTTCTCCCTCTATGTCTCTGCCTCTCTCTCCTGTGTATCTCATGAATAAATAAATAAAAATCTTTAAAAAAATAAAACAAAAATGGGCAATGGACTTGAATAGACTTTTCTAAAGATTGATTGATTGATTTTTAGAGAAGGGGAGAGAGAAAGTAAGAATCTCAGGCTGACTCCCCACTGAGCACAGGGCTTGACTCGCGCTTGATCTCACAACCTCAAGATCATAGCCTGAGCCAAAAATCAAGAGTCAGAGGCTCAACTGACTGAGCCACCCACGCGCCTTTCGAGTAGACTTCTCTGAAGAAGACATAAAGATACCCAATAAGCACATAAAACAATGCTCAACATCACTAACTGCTGGAGGAATGCAAATCAAAATCACAATGAGATTATCACTTCATATTCTTAAGGATGGCTACTTTTTTTTTTTTTTTTTTTTAAAGAAAACAACCAGTGTTGGTAAGGATGTAGAGAAATTGGAACTCTTGTGTATTGCTGGTAGGAATATAAAATGGTGTGACTGCTGTGGAAAAGTTTGTTTAAACATAAAATTACCATATGACCCAGAAATTCTACTTCTAGCTATATACCCCCCAAAACTGAAAACAGGGACTTAAACACTTGTGTGCCAATGTTCATTGCACCATTATTCATAATGGCCAAAAGATGATAACTCAGCAACCATCAACTCACAAATGGACAAACAAGATGTGGTACACATACACACAGTGTACTCAGCCATAAAAAGTATTAATGTTCTGATGTATGCCATAGCATGGATGAGAAACATGCTAAGTAAAAAAACCCAACACTGAAAACCACACATTGTATGTAACAAACATGATAAACTACAATAAGCCAAATCTATAGAGACAGAAAGTACATTAGTAGTTGCCAGGGTGGGGGGAGGGTGGGGGTTAGGAAAAAATGGGCACTGACTGCTAATCAGGTACAGGTTTCATTATGGAGGGATGAAAATGTTCTAAAATTGATCATGGTGATGGTTTACACCCCTGTAAACATACTAAAAAATCATTGAGCTGTACACTTCAAATGGCTAAATTAAACGGTATACGAATTATATCTCAATATAAGTTATTTTAAAGAAACTCAGCTGTAAGAACAGAGATCCTGTCACAAAAATCTTTTTGTATAATGAGAGAAGCATCAAGATAACCTATCCCCAGTCCTGCTCTACAACAGCAGTATCCTATTTATTCAGCATGGGAAAAACGACTTCCTCCTACCACCCACAGTTTCACATCTATGTACCAGGAAAGAATTATCTCAAAACTATCAGATCATTTCTTTTAAAAAGCCCCAGTTGTACCTTAGCTTCTATATCTAATTTCATTTGGTTCCACTTCCTGGAAAATTTACAGTACCAATCTGTCTACTAACATTGAAGGTTGGCCCTAAGAATGGCACTTGAGGGGCAAGGTTTCTAATTAGGGATCCACGAATCCCCTAAATTTGTACTCAAAATACTGTACACAAATTTTTCTGAGACAATCCATACCTGTATTTCATCAGATTCTCAAAATAGTCTAAGACCCAAAAAGGAGAATCAATGGCTTATTTCAACCAACTGGTTTTGCATCATTTACTCTCCTTCACACTTTTTTTTTTGTAAAATAAGAAAGCTGGCTTTCTTTCTCACAAGGTGGAAGAAAAAGGGTCAATTATAAAGCTCAATTACTTATCACATGAGCAACTGATTTTTGTTTCAAAGACATGCCCAAAGAGTCAAATTTTTGGAAGGTGAATCTAAAATGAATCAAGGAATCAAAATCCTAAGTTGAACAGGGGAAAATACTATTTTATTCTTTTTTCCTTTTAATAATTCCAGATAACCATTTCTTTCTTTAAAAACAAACAAACAAACAAAAACAAAACCCTCATGCACCTACTATGCACCAAACACAATGTGAGGAGCTGAGGATACATTGGTGGAATCAAACAATCTATGCCCTCAAATTGCTTACAGCATTGTGGTTAGAACCACTTTTTTAAAAAAAAAGAACAAGAAATAAGAATTCACAATTTCCATAACAAAACCTTTTCCCTCAGCACTAGCTCCTTGGGAAATCATAGCATATCCTGCAAAGTTTCTCTTTTTTGAGACACAGACTATCTATTACAATACTTTTCAACTCATACAATTTCCCTCCTAAATCCTATTTTACAGAAACCCAGTGTACAACACAGCTTCTGGGGCCCAATGTGTTTCAGTATGTAGAAAGTACTTATTTCAGCATACGTCATGTATAAAAGGAAGTAACAGTTCTGAATGAGACAAAGTTCACTCTTAAAATTCCAATTCCTCATCCTTCTTTACTTTCATTATCTTAAAAACTCACAAGACACGTTTGTTAACCAAAGCCAGTCTCTAATAAGTCATGACAGATCTGGAAAAGTACTAATCTAAGGTAATACGAAATAAAAAACCTTTTAAAATTGCTGTACTGCAAATATACCACCAGCCTAAGAAGCAGGTAGAAAAATTCTACTCTTTAAAAAAATCTTTTGTAACTGGACTGCTCTTTCCCTGATATCTAAATACTTCACTAGTACTTTTCTTCCTCTAGAATCTATTTCACTAGTATATACTTGCTTTCTCTTTCCATCCAAATATACACTCTTACCTGATCATATTCTGAAGCACCAGGATAAAGAGGCCATCCCAGGAACAGCTCAGCTATCACACAGCCCAATGACCACATATCAATGGCTTCACAAAATGGTAATCCAAGAATAATTTCAGGGGCTCTAGCAAAAACAAAAACAGCAAATTAAAAAACAAACATTACTTGGGGAAATTAACTACTTTGACTAAGTCCTGTTTTAGTACCAGCCTAAGGTACATACTTATTTAAAGAACCTGAAAACTATGTGTGATATAAAATCCATCATTTGAAACTTCTGGAGCCAGATGTGTTTTGGAATTGAGAATTTTTTTGAATTTAAGAAAGGTAGTACCAAGCATAAAACTATGTATTGCATAATAATCCCAATGGAGTTTAGGGAAGCACCCATAATCAAACACAGTAATATTTCTACAACAAAACAAATAAACAGTCATACTAAGTTGGCTGAATACTTTAAATAGCCTTACATTGGTTCAAGACAGATTTTGCCAATAAATGAGCTTATACAAAACTCAGAAAAAGTTTTTTAATTTTGAAATCACAGATAACGATCGCAGATTTATTCTTTTTACTCTTAGCACCTTTTTAATTATAGAAAAATCAATTAAATGACCTGATCAATAAATACCCCTTGGTAACAGAAATGCCTTCTATAGAGACTTAGTGGTTGACAGCACTACAGAAATAATCATTTCCATTAATGCTCCAAGCAAGAAATCTAACCCTAGGGAAGCTTAAAGAGAAGACTAAGATAATATCATAAACTAAGAGCTTTATATATATGACCACATCCAAGGTAAAATTATTATCTCTATTTATAGAGGAAACTGAGGCAAACAAAGTAGTTTACCCCAAAGCACAGTTAAGTGGAAGGGCTAGAATATGAACCCTGGCAGTCTGGCCCCAGAGTTAAGTATATTGTAATGTTTTCAAATAAGTAAAAGTTAAGTATATATCCACCTATATAAATCTATTTGGCATGGTGGTATACATGGCATTTTTCAAACTATGACTAAAATTATGAGGTAAATGGGTTAAAAAGGGGGGGCTATTAACAGGTATTACTAATGTCAATAATAATAAAAGATGATGCTTATATAGTGCTTACTCTGTGCCATGCACTGTTCTAAGTTACAAATGTGGTCACTTACTCCTTACAATAATCCTATGAAAATAAACATTACTACTGTTAAGTCATCAATTTTTTTTTTTTTAACCAGACTCCTTGCAGGGGCTTGAACTCACAACCCTGAGATCAAGACCTGAGCTGAGATCAAGAGTCGGACACTTAACCAACTGAGCCACCCAGACACCCCATATGTCATCAATCCTAAGATGTATGGTTTTTTTTTTTTTTTTTTGCATTTTAACATCTCTGAAATCAAGAAGATTCTTGCAAATGAGGATGTATCTTAGCTTAATGGCAGTGCTTTTACTTTCTTATTGGTACAAAATGTTTCATCTTCTAATCAATGGTATCTTAGATGCTACATAATAAAGTATCCTTTCCATTTTACAGGTGAAGAAACCAGGCACTGAGAAGTTAACTCACTCAAGGTCACACAAGTACTAAATTATGGAGCACAGGCAACCTGAATCTTAGGGCTGAGCTCTTAAACATTTTATCATAATCTCCAATTTCCCTTCTTTCTTAAAAGTCACAGAATTGGAATCTGTAAGGGCACACCAGATCCAGACCCCTCAGCAGATCTCTCTCCACGAGGGGCCCTCAAAGGGGCTGTATCCCCTCATGGAGTGCCTACGTTTCTCCAACTTTCCTTTGAAGTATTATGTAAACATTGTTGCTCTAAGGGCAGGAAGGAATGAGCAGGAAGAATATAAAGATATTTCCCTAAATAAGAATATTCTCCCCAGGTAATTTTCTAATTAAGTACCCCCTTAGAAAATAAGGTAAATTAGAGGATTTCATAGGATCTAGAGGCTTTCCTAGGAGATCCTTGTATAGAAACAGCAGAAGGATGATCCAGGCCTGCTGAGACTTCCACTATTTGACAGCTATGGGCAGGACTAATATCACCAGTTTTGTATTATTTGACGTGAACCGTAGCTTTGTTAGCCAAAGAAACAACCTTCAAAAGGGATATTCCTGTTGCAGGTAGCTAGAGCCACATATACCTGATGGAATTCCAGAGTTTAATTAAATCCCAACCACTGTAGCATGTTTTTAAGATGGCACAAGTTTTATAGCATTAATAAACTAGAGTGTAATAGTATACAGAAACATAAAAGCTTTTCTAAAATTGAAAAGGAACAAAATTTTTACTTTCAGCGAGCAGAATCATTAATTTTCAAGTTCATGACAGTGCCAGAAAGAGCTGGCAGGGAGAGCACAAATGGCTATGTGCCAAAATAAAAACTGGGCTTAGAACATTCCTAAGCATCAATTGAAGAGCAGCAGATTGATTTTGCCATTCCCACTATACCAGGAAGACATTTTAAAATCCAAAGGTAGGTCATAGGGAGGGGCAGGCCACCCAATAACTTACTTCTTTAAAAAGGTAGCAATAATATGTGATCATTGTTAGGCTTCCAAAGCCTAAAGTTTCAGAGAACTTAAGAAAAACACTAATTCCAGTCCCCAAGCCCCATTAGACAAACAAAACAAAACAAAACAAAACTCTAAAGACTGGCTGGAATCAGTTTTTCCATTTAGTCTAATTTCTTCTTCTGGAGTAACAAAAGCCGCTAAGGATTTTCAGCAAAAACTCACAACAGTAACTCTACTACATCTACCATACAAAAAAGTGAGCATCAAAGGAAAAAGACAATGAAAGTAAAAATAAAATAAGGTTGTTCAGTCTATTGAGGGCTTTTCACTATCATTAGAAACTAGAAATGATGACTGAACTAAACTCTAGGAAGCAAAAAAACAGAAGTTATTTTCTGGTACTGAACAGATCAGAATCATTTAAAGCAGGTTCACCTCTAAACACGGAATGTTTTAAACTCTGAATTCAGATAATTCTTGGTACTGTCTTCATTAGTATATCATCTTTCCCTTGGCCTCCATTGTTTCTCAATCCTTCAAATATAAACTCTCAACACTAAAATTCTGCTTCTACTCCATCTGTATAGAGAGGCTGAGTGAGGTAATTACTTTTCTAGGTCCCTTACCAGCTCTGACATTAATACCTGTATAGTAAAAAAGATGACCTAAAGAAGCACAGGGGGCAGCCCGGGTGGCTCAGCGGTTTAGTGCCGCCTTCAGTCCAGGGCCTGATCCTGGAGACCCGGGATCGAGTCCCAAGTCAGGCTCCCTGCATGGAGCCTGCTTATCCCTCTGCCTGTGTCTCTGCCCCTCTCTCTCTCTCTCTCTCTCTCTCTCTCTGTGTGTCTCATGAATAAATAAAAATCTTAAAAAAAAAAAAAAAAGAAGAAGAAGAAGAAGAAGCAGCAGCAGCACAGGGAAGAGAGGGAAAAAACCCAAACTGGCAGTCACTTTTTTAGGAAAATGGCATTAATTGTACTTTGGACACAGTGGGTCTTCTCTTTGAAAATACATCCCATCCTTAAGGAACAGATACTACACAGGCTCTAAATACTATAACCAGGTGGTAGAAATAACAATCCCTGCCTTTTGATATTCCAACTTCAAATTTCATGAAACTAAAAAACTGCTCCAAAGTGTTATTTCACTAGAACCCAGAGCAAACTACTATTAGAATCACTTAACAGCACAAATTACCCTCTGATCACTGTAATGAATACTCTTGTTTCTTCCTGCCCATCTCAGAGGCATCAAACTTACCAGATCAGAGATGTTACATAAAGTCTAACTTCCTGCATCTGTGGCTTAGGTGAAACTGTAGTATGTTATTTGTCTAGGATAAACTGAAAATATGCTTTCCTTCTCTAGACCTTGTCCCTCCATACATAACAAATACAGAGATCTCAACTTTAATAAAGGCCAGCTAGTTTGTTCAGAATGGAAAAGCACTGAGTTTGTAAGTATGGCAAACCTTTGTACCTAAACTGAAGCCCCAAACACAGCAATCAGTAGTCTATATTTACATTTACAGTGGCCAGAAAATAAAGTATATTATTTCCACTGCCTAAAGCATTTAGCCATGCCTATGGACAACAGAGTATGCTGGTAAAAATTTATGTCAAATGATAATATTTTGGCAGGTCATCAGCAAGATGAAGCAATGTAAACTAAAAAGGAGGGTAAGGGGAAACCTGACTTTGAAGTCAGGATGCTTCACTGGCCAAAGGGATTTCACAGAGGTTTTCTTTTTCCTTTTTCTTTTTTAAAAAGATTTCTATTTATTTATTCAAGAGAGACACACAGAGTAAGGCAGAGACACACAGGCAGAGGGGGAAGCAGGCTCAGCAGGGAGCCTCCTAAGGGGAGCCTGATATGGCACTCAATCCCAGGACCCAGGGATTATGGCCTAAACCAAAGGCAGACCTCAACCACTGAGCCACCCAGGTGCCCCTCCCAGAAGTGTTCTGAAGGACACCAGGGTGAGACTCTAAAAGCAACACGAAGAAGGCCACTGTGGATAAAACTACTGATAAAGAAGGAATGCCTGAGCTGCTACTCCATTGGCCTGAGGTTCATTATCAAGTATTATTATGACATAACAGAATACTCACATTAAATCCTAAATGTAATCAAGCCCTGGACATTGAAGTTCAGTATGCATAGTAATTACTCAGTAATACACAAAAAGAACTCCTGTTTTTAAGGGGTAAACTGAGCTCCATTTACAATTACTCCTATAGTCAAGAACTAAATGCAATGGATTTGCAGGATGATTTGTTGAAGAGTACTTGACAGTAGACTTAAAAATCTGAAAATCATATTTGCTATAAAGACAAAACATAACCAAATTACTCCTATGACAGCTTAAATTAAATCAAAAGGATAGGGAAAGGGGCAAAGATCATCAACCTAACCCTGAAAATTATTCAAATGAATTACTTATAAGAGAAAGCTAAGCAGCCAGAACTATTTACTCCTCAAATCTCCTTTACCCTTTAGGAGAAAATTCCATCAAAATTATTTCACAAAAGAATTATTTCTATCACTTTTTTTTTTTTATCTTAAAATTGCTTCCGTTACCGTAAAGACAAACCAAATAGTTAAAAAATACCTGCAGGCACCGACTAGAAAAGAGATCAAGAAGTAAGAGCTGATCAGCCTCCACCCCCCTCAGCGATGCCCTCCCTCCTACCTCCCCAATGCTCCAAAGGAGATCTGAGCTCTTAAGTGTACCTGTAGAATGTTTCTGTATATAAACATGAGTAGGTGGTGGTAGGATTGCTCAAAGGAGAATACTAAAAGAAAAAATAATTGGAACCTAAATCCTCCAAGTCGTGAATAACCAAATGGAGGTGAGATTTTCAAAATTAGCTAAATTGCCTGGAGCAGCATGAAACCAGAAACCAAGGCTGTAGGAATTTCTTTACTCCAACTCACTCAAGTAAGAAATAATCAGTTTTACAAAATTATAAAAGGAAAAGGTAAAAATAGAGAAGACTGGATTGGAAGACGTAATATTGTGAAGATGTCATTACTACCCAAACTGATTTACAAATTCAGGGCAATCCTTCAAAAACCAACGAGATTTTTTGAGGAAATAGAAAAATCCATTATAAAATTCATATGGAATCCCAAGGGACTCCGAATGGCCAAAACAATCTTGAAAGAGAATAAAGCTGGAAATCTCCCACTTCTTGATTTTGAAACTTACTACAAAGCTACAAGTAATCAAGACAGTGTGGTAACTGGCATAAGAACAGACACAAAGACCAACGGAATAGAACAGAGAGCCCAGAAATAAACTCTTGTATTTGTGGTCAATGAATTCCAACAAATATCAAGACCTCTCCATAGAGAAAGTATAGTCTTTTAAGCAAATGGTGCTAGGAAAACTGAATATCTATGCAAAAGAATGAAAATGGACCCCTACCTTACACCATATACAAAAATTAACTTAAAAATAGGTCAAAATTGCTTCTCCCTCTGCCTGTGTCTCTGCCTCTCTCTCTGTGTGTGTCTCTCATGAATAAATAGATAAATAAAATCTTAAAAAAAAAAAAAAAAGGGATCCCTGGGTGGCGCAGCGGTTTGGCGCCTGCCTTTGGCCCAGGGCGCGATCCTGGAAACCCGGGATCAGATCCCACGTCGGGCTCCCGGTGCATGGAGCCTGCTTCTCCCTCTGCCTGTGTCTCTGCCTCTCTCTCTCTCTGTGTGTCTCTCATGAAATAAATAGATAAATAAAATCTTTAAAAAAAAATAGGTCAAAATTAACTAAAAAATATTATGTCTGTATTTCTTATATTCTTATAAGTAAGAGCTAAAAACTATAGAACTCTTACAAGAAAGCAAAGGTGAAAAAGTTTTATGACATTGGTTTAACAATGATTTCTTAATTAGAATTCCAAAATCTAAGCAACAAAAAGAAAAAACACAAACTGGACTTCATTAAAATTTAAAACTTTTGCGCAAGTATCATTTCACCAAAGTGAAAAGGCAACCCCATGGAATGAGAATGTATTTGCAAACCATGTACCTGCAGAGGGAGATTAGTATCTAGAATATACAAAGAACTCAACAGAAAAACCCAAGACAAAAATGGACAAATGACTTGAACAGACATTTCTCTAAAGAAGATATACAGATGTCCAATAAGCAAATGAAAAGATGCTCAATATCACTAATCACTAGGGAAATGCAAATCAAAACCCCACAAATACCATTTCACACACCTAAGGATGGCTATTATCCCCCACACCACAAAAAACAAAAAACAGGTTTTGATGAGGAGGTGTAGGAACTGGAATCCTCATTCAATGATAGTGGGAATGTAAAATAGTGCAGCTGTAGAAAACAGTTTGGTGGTTCCTCAAAAAGTTAGAATTAAAAAAAAAAAAGAATTACCATATGATCCAGCAATCCTACTTTCAGCTGTATACCCCAAAGAAACAGGGACTTATACTCTTGAATACTAATGTTCATTGCAGTATTATTCATAGTAGCCAAAAATGTGGAAACCCAAGGGACTAAATAAACAAAATGTAGTATATACATGCACTGGAATATTATTTAGTCATGAAAAGGAATGGAAGTCTGATACATGCTATAGTATGAATTAATCTTGAAAACATTATGCTGGGCAACCCAGGTGGCTCAGTGGTTTAGCGCCTGCCTTCAGTCCAGGGCGTGATCCTGGAGACCTGGGATCAAGTCCCATGTCGGGCTCCCTGCAGGGAGCCTGCTTCTCCCTCTGCCTGTGTCTCTGCCTCTCTCTCTCTCTCTCTCTGTCTCTCATGAATAAATAAATAAAATCTTTAAAAAAAAAAAAAAAGAAAGAAAACATTATGCTAAGTGAAATAAACCAGACACAAAGAGATAAATACTGTATGATTCAACTTACATGCCGTATCTAGAATAGGCAAATTCACAGAGACAATAAGTCAAATAGAGGTTACCAGGGGTAGAGGGAAAGGTGGAGTTATTGCTTAATGGCTACAGAGTTTCTGTTTTGAGTGATTAAAAAAATTTAGAAATAGTGGTGATGGTTACAGAACACTGTGAACATACTTAACACACTGAATAGTACATTTAAAATGGTTAAAATGGGGGATCCCTGGGTGGCGCAGCGGTTTGGCGCCTGCCTTTGGCCCAGGGCGCGATCCTGGAGACCCAGGATCGAGTCCCACGTCAGGCTCCCGGTGCATGGAGCCTGCTTCTCCCTCTGCCTGTGTCTCTGCCTCTCTCTCTCTCTGTCTGTGTGCCTATCATTAAAAAAAAAAAAAAAAAAAAAAAAAAAAAAAGATTTAAAAAAAAAATAAAATGGTTAAAATGGTAAACTTCATATTAGGAAGATTTTACACAATTAGAAAAAAATATGTAGAAGGCATATCTTCTGAGCCCTTGTTCAGATTAAAATATCCCTCTCTTATTTTCACACACAATATAAAATTCTAAGCTCAGACTTTCTATTTCCTGAAAATTTAATATGGGCATTTGATATGTTGGACATATCACCTGATAAACATATATTGTGGATTATCTTTTTTTATTGTTTCACTTCTTGATTGGGTGAGTGTACAATTTGTATTTAATGAATGATCATTAAAATTAAATATTAGGTTCCTTATAATTAGTAACTAGACAAATAAATAAATGAGGTATTAAGAAATAAAAGCTCATTTAAGACTTCCCCCTTTTCTTTCAGTAATTCTCCCTGATTATAGCACAGACAACATTGTATATACAAGCATTTAAGTACTTTCACAATAATGATTATATATTAAAAAGACAGCTTTCTTAGAAGTATCAATCTGGAAATATAAATCACTAAAATACAAGGCACTTGGGTCAAGGACATTTTAGGATAACCAAATAAGGTCATAGCCAAATTAAGTTCGAACTCTTATGGAGATGTTGAAATAGGAAGAGCCCTCGGCAATCATCAAATCCAATTCTCTTTACTACACAAAAAAGAAAACGTCAAAGAATGAAATGTTGCTAGAGTTAAACCTGGAATTATTCCCAAGGCATCTTACCTGCCAAGATATGAACTTGGAAAAGTAGCAGCATATGCCTAAATTCATTACAAATAAGTAAACATCTTTATATTTTTAAAGACTCTTTAAAATGGGAGAATGAGGTTTAATGGTACTTGAGAAGGAACCAGATGCTAGTATAATTCAAATACGAACAACCTTCAGAATTAGACTGAATTAATTTTTCTAGTGTTAAATAAGACTTCAGAAATAATGTTACATATAGGAATGCCAGAGGTGGAATGAAGTAAAACATATTTTCCTATTCTACCTTGCAATCAGTAAATAAATTCCGTTTGTTATACGTACTCTATGTAATATATGTTAAATATAAAGATAGATCTCTAGTCTAGGATACGCTTTTTAACATTTGCCACTTGCCTGTAGTAACGTGACTGTAAGTAGGTTGAGCACACAGCTTTGGAAACGTGACTAGCAGAACCAAAGTCAATGACCTTCACTCGGTAGGGTTGGCGCACTGGGTCGACCAGCATTATGTTTTCAGGCTTAAGGTCAGCGTGAATCAGACCAAGGCTCTTGAGCTTCATCAGGGCTGTGGCCACCTGCTGCAAGATTGGTCTGATGTACTTGAGTGGCAGTGGGCTAAACTTGTTCTGCTTTAGAAAATCATATAAGTTCTGCTCCAGCATCTCAAACACAAGGCAGGTATGATTCTTATGCTGAAAGCATTCATAAGAACGAACAAAATTATACTCATCAGCATTTTCACTGCTTAGGCGGGAAAGGATGCTCACTTCAATCTGTCCTTGTCTGGCATAGGAGGGGTGGTTCTTCAAGATTTTAATAGCCACGATTTCCTTAGTGCTCCGCTTCCAGCACTTAGCCACCTGTCCAAATGTTCCCCGGCCTAGGAACTCCAACACTTCATAGCTATTGGTCATAGAGCAAAGGATCTCATGCTGGACCAGCTGGTAATCCCCTTCTCCGCTGGAACTGCTACTCTTTGTGGTCACAGTGGTGGTTGTGGCAGCAGCACCCACCACAGTCCTGTTTTGCAGCATGAGAGGGGGATGTTCTTCTATGATCTGCACACTACCGTTGCTGTCAACTTCCTCACTTTTTCTTTTCAATCCACATTTTTGATATGGCTCAAGCAAAGAAACGTTGTTTCTGTGAGTCAGGGTCTGGCTGCTTTGGAAGGTTGATGTAGCAGCACTGGCCGAGCTATCAGCAGCTGTTACAACAATATGCTCCACTGCAGGAGCTGGGAGGAGGAGGCCCTGGTCGTAAGCAGGGATGTTGAAATTTGCTACCTGGTGAGAGGAGTTGGCTTGCCCTTGTGTGGCTGGGAGGGTTTTGCTGTGGGTATAATATTTGTCGTTGCTGCTCTGTCCAGAAACATCCCAGCCAGAGGGCTCTATTTTCAGTTTCTTCGCACTGCAGAAGGCACTCGACGACACTGATGGGGGGGAAAACACCTGCAGCTGTGATGCCATACCTACGTTGAGAGAGAGGAAGAATTAGAACCTCAGTTTTACACAACCCTGCAATTAATAGATTAGAAAACTTTTAGTTTAGTAAAACCACAAGTAAAATATTACTATCTGGCTGGAGTTTTATTTTATGCATTTTCCAAAATATGTTTCCTATTACAGAAGGATAAACTTTTTGTCTAATCACACAAACACATCCTTTTTTTTTTTTTTAAAGATTTGTATTTATTCATGAGACACACAGAAAGAGAGGCAGAGACAAAGGCAGAGGGAGAAGCAGACTCCCTACAGGGAGCCTGATGTGGGACTCAATCCCAGGACCCTGGGATCACAACCTGAGCCAAAGGCAGACATTCAACCACTGAGCCATCCAGGTGCCCCTAATCACTTGTTCTGCTTTAGAACAAGCAGCAATAGTAAGTCACCTTGTCAAAAGAGCATGAACATCTATGATGGTTTATAAAATAATAACCATAATAACAATAGCTTAGATGATTGATCACTTACTATGTGTCAAGGAGTAGTCTAAGCACTTCCACGTGCATTACTCATTTAATTGTCACCACAACCCTTTGGAAAAGATACTATCATTATTTCCCCTTTACAGATGAGGAAACTAAGATACAGAGTGGCTAGAGTAACTCGCCCAAAATAGCACAGCTATTAAGTAGCAGCACTGGAATTCAAACCCAGGCTTTTTGGCCCCAGAACTCATTCCACAGCTCTGTCTTCATTCCTACCCTGATGAGATTTTTGATCATTTAGAGATAGATGACACACTTACAAATTTTACAGCTGAATCAAATTTGGGAAGGATATTCAATATATTGCTAAAATAACGGGTCCCAAAAGATCACAATAGGGCAGAAGACGCAAGACAAATCTAGATGAAATTTGACACAAATACAGAATCCTACATAGGCCCAAAATATGACTAGCACAAAGCACCAGGATAAAAAAATTCAAGGTTTAGCAGGAGCACATGTATATGAAAAACACTTTGAGTTGGTAAAAGAAACACTATGTAATAATGTTTCCCCAACCAAAAGCTAATTCAATCTTAAACTACATTCACAGAAATAGTGTCCAAAATGTGCTGGACAAAGTGAAGGCTACTGCTCTGCTCAGGTCATACACTATTTTAATGATGTCTAGCTCTATACACTACATTATAAGAGGGTCACTGATAAAATGACCAGGAGAAAGTAATCAAGATGATGGGAACCCTACTGAGAGGATCTTCTGAAGAACCACACGAAGTTATTTTTAGAAAATATGGAGAGGGCAGCCTGGGTGGCTCAGCGGTTTAGCGCCACCTTCAGCCCAGGGCGTGATCCTGGAGACTCAGGATCAAGTCCCACATCAGGCTCCCTGTATGGAGCCTGCTTCTCCCTCAGCCTGTGTCTCTGCCTCTCTCTCTCTCTCTCTCTGTCGCTCATGAATAAATAAATAAAATATTTTTAAAAAAAAAAGAAAAATAGAAAGAGGGCAGAACAACCCAGCTTTCTGGTCCCTTAATATCCCATAAACACCTCAAGTTCAATAAACCTCAAGACTCCCAAAGCTAATACTTTCAGAAAAAAGTTCAAACAATTGACACAGCATATAAGCCATTTCTATTTATCTTCTCCCTTCTCAACCATATAACCCTCAGATGCCTTGGGGCTCTATATTAATTATTCTGCTCTTGTCCATACTTTCCCCTTTTCAATTAACTACTTCCCAGGATCAGTCATCTACAAAAGATTCTCAAATTTTTGTTTCTAACCCAGACTTCTCTCTCCTGAACTCCAAATTCTTATTTCCAAATAACCACTCCACACTGAAATGTGGGTATCTTGCAAACATCTCAAATTAAACATGTCCAAAATGAAACTTGAGCCTCCACCCTATCCCCAGTCTTCTATCTCAATTATGACACCACCATATACCCAACATCTCAAGCTAAAAATCAGAGAGGCAATGAGTGTTTCTTTATCTATAAACTGGTGGTAGCAATACCTACCTCAAGGGGTTGTTCTAGAATTAAGTTATCTAATACATATAAAGTGCTAGTGTCTGGAAATCATTTAATATTATTATCCTGACTCCTCCTCATTACTCCACCTCTAATCTATAGCCAAATCTTAACTGATTTTACCTCCTAAGTATATTTCAGATCAGCCATTTTTCTCTATCTCTATCAGGACCATTCTAGTTCCAACAGCCAGTGGCCTCCAAAACTAATCTTGAATGCACTCTGGGGATGACCTTTGTTGTTAAACTATGCAAATCAGATGACGGCTCTTTCTTTCTTAACCACCTTCCTCCCCCTGCCTCCAGGGTTTTCCACTGCTTTGTGGATAAAATCCAAAATCCTCAATTTGCCTTTAAAAGCTCTCCAAAAATCTGGTTGCTATCTTCCAGAATCTCTCCACCTTGATTCCTCCATTCCAGCCATACTGCCCTTCCTTCAGTTCTTGGATAGGCCCTCTGATCTGCTGAAGATTTTCTTCTGGGAAAACCATTCATTCATACACATCTTCACACACACACACACACACACACACACACACACACACACACACGCCCCACAACTCTCCCCCCCAACCAAGCATTCCCAAGGCGTCCTGTTCCTCCCTTAGGACTCAAAAGTATTTCTTTAATATTACTTTAGCATTCTCAGCTACAGTGTAAGTTCCATGACAGGTACCATAACTGTCTCATTTTTTGCTTCTATCACCACCAGCAATTACCACAGACTCTGGCAATATACAAACATGCAGTATTTGCTGGATGATTCTGACCGCTGCCTACCAACCTCTTATCTACTCCCTACCACTCATACTAAACCACAGGATTTTTAAACTCTTGGTTGTATTTTTCAAACGTCCCTCCTTTTTATCTGTGCAACCTGTAAGACCTGGGGGAAGTCTCCACTCCAATACACAGAGTATAATTTTACTAGTCATAAGAGAATAAACACACACAAGAAAGGAAGGAAGTGTGACAAAGGATGTTACAGCACATAAAAAAGCAATGTGTACGTTTCTTTGTGCCTGAATGCAACTAAAAACCCTTTGCACTGGACTAGACAGCTGGAATGAAAACAAATCCTCAGCCTTAATTTCTAAAATGTAGTCTGGATTTACTTGAAACAAGAGTTTCCATAATTTATGTGAACTCTGAAGAGAAAAAAGTGTAAATTAAAAGCTAAAGTCAGCGCAATTGAACTCCAAAGCTACAAATATGTAAGTCTTCTTGTTCTGCCTATGTCACTGACGTAACACCAATTTAAAATAAAAATGTAAAACCAGGTAGTGCCTTTACAGAATTTACCTATTAAAATATATGCAGAAATATTTCTCATCATCATAAAACTGAGCCAACTTTTTGGACAATGAAAAGAAGTAAATTTTTGAAATTTGTTTTCCATTTCATATCAGTTGAGCTACTAATTTTAATAATCTATCAAGAAACAGGAACACAGGGATCCCTGGGTGGCGCAGCGGTTTGGCGCCTGCCTTTGGCCCAGGGCGCGATCCTGGAGACCCGGGATCGAATCCCACGTCGGGCTCCCGGTGCATGGAGCCTGCTTCTCCCTCTGGCTGTGTCTCTGCCTCTCTCTCTCTCTCTCTCTCTCTCTGTGACTATCATAAATAAATAAAAATTAAAAAAAAAAAGAAACAGGAACACAAACTTTATGTACCTAAACGTATTTGATAAAAGAATTTGAATGCAAAATTTGCAGTTTGTAGCTATGCCTAGGAATATGGAAGCTGAAGCAATAATACTGAAAAGAAATCATGAAGTATAACACCAAATTTTTAAAAGTATGTTCACTACTACACACTTTTTAAAATATTACATTTACCAGAATAATGTTATGGACAACTTTTCACCCAATAAACAAAAAGATGCTGATGGTTTCAAATCTTCACAGTGAGCACTGCAAAAAGCACAAGTTCTAGGAATTTTTCTAAAAGTTTATATAAATGACTATAATTCTTATTCAGCAAGACAAACTTTAAGTCCACACATAGGAAAAGAACCACCCAGAATTTAACTAGCTTTCCCCACAGTAGAGGTGTGTGGTACTTAAGTCAGTATCATGCCAGTGTGGCTGAGTCTCATTCTGACCTCATCAAGCACAAGGTGAAAAGAAAATGCAAAATCAAAACTGTCTAGAAAAATCAATACTTACCTATATAAAACCTTGAAATTCAGCTAAAAGCAGCCATTTCTAGACGTAAGATTTTATGTTCCATAAAATTTGCCTTTGCAAAATGGGAAAGGAATTTTCTTCCTGGGGTGAGACCTCCCAAACAAAAATATGGAACAGAATTATCATCTGTGGAAAACTTACTATGTATCAGACTCTGTTATGAATATTCTCAAGTCCCAGGAGAGTAGCTCCCAATAAATTAAAACTTACTTCTCATTTCCTGAAAATGTTGCACTTCTTGACCCTAGTAATAAACTAGTCTTTTCATTTCAAACCTGACTTTCTGAGAATTTAACTATCTAAATATATTGACAAATGTGGTCACTACGTTAATCTGGAACTAGAGCTAACAGGTGGAAGGCTACTAGTATTTGTACTTATTGCTAAAGAGAATTGAGTCTTGCTAGAACTAAGGCTTTCAAAAACAAACAAATAAATAGCTTCTCCCCTCACTGCCATGGTCACATCTATCTAACATCTCCAGGTGCCCCACATTATGGACACTACAAGTAGGTCATCTTACCACAAAGAATTCAAATATTAAAACTATGAATGGAACAGCTGGTTATGGCAACCAGTAATCATTTGTCAGTGTTTTGCCCTTACTCTTCAGGTAACTTCCATCTTCCACACCAGTAATAAAATTCCTACTACTTTTGCTTAGCATCACTTTTGCCTCTTTGATACAATTTAACAATTGGGTGACCTAAATAACCTAAAATCAGTACTGTATATTGACTGCTTCATCTGGCACTTGTCCTCAGATGACATGTACATAGTTGTACATCTTCTCCAGCAAGCTGATATATAAAGAATATTCCTATCACTAAAGTAAGTAAGAAAACACATTCTGTAAAAAGAAAGCAAGGAGTACTTTCAGGATGAAAACTCCTTCACCACAACTCCATCTCTCTCTCCACTCCACCCATTTTTCTCCACTCCTGCTGATGATCCTGGACTACTTCAACAGCCTAACTTGCTTCCCCCAAATAGTACTCTCAAGTCCCCTTTTTAAATTCCCTTCTCCTAATTCATACTTTACCTTACCACTGAAGCTTTTAAAAATACTTATCTGTCTCCTGCTTGAAACCTTGAGATAAAGTCCAAATCTCTAAATTCCCAGCAGCAGTAAATTTCTCTGAGTTCCTAGAATACACCTTATTTCTCCCATCCTAGTTCTTTCACACATAACGTTCCCTCTCTGAACTTCATTTTCCCTTCTTAGTCTTCTCTTTTTCTAACTTCTATTTATCCTGTTACTCTCCGCTTAAACCTCACTTTTTTTCAGTGTGGTATATACAGGCGCGGTTGGTTTGGATCAAATTCTATTCTCTCCTTCACCCCAGGCACACGGCTATGTTTACCAGTCCCTCTCACCAACAGAAAGTGGTGTGTGGGTTAGCTTACTGTGTTCCTTTCCATTTCCACCAGCAGGAACCTATGGAGATCCAGCTTCCACCACGAAACAATGCTCAAGGGGTAAGAGGGCAATAAGATGGAAAGAACTGTCTCTGATCATGTAACAGCAGAACTGCCTGCCCCCTAAGAATGCCCACTTCAACCTGGAACATTTACTTCAGGCTGTTACATGAAAGGAAAACTATTTTCCTAGATTGTGTGTATTTTGCTGACACACACAGGAAAGCCTTGCCCAGACCACTTTGTACTAGCTTAGGTTTCCTGGTAAAAGCTCCCACAGCATCCTCTACTACTTCTTAGCACTTACCACACTTGTACTTATTTATTTCATTTACTCTTTTGACCAACCCATATTGAGTACCTAGTCTGTTTGCCTGGCACTGTTCTAGAAACTACGGATAAAAGTGATGCTCCAGATGGACAAGATCCCTTGTTCTCTTGTAACTTACTTTCTTTTGGGAAGACACACACACAGCCCCCACAAGAAAACAGTAACTAGGGACAATGTTATGATGAAAACAAAACACAACGATATGACAGAAACAGTGGGAAGGGGAGAGATACTCCAGATTTAGTGGTCAGGGAAGGCCTTGTAATGTGATGGCACTTAAGCCAAGACCTAATTGACAAGAAGGAGCCATTCTAGTGAAAGAGAACAGTTAGTGCCAAGATACATTCTTGGCTTATCTAAAGAAGAGACCAGTATGGATGGACTAGAACAGGAAAGAAAATGACAAGCAGGGCCCAAAGAGGCAGACAAGGGCCAGGCCATATATTAACTCTTTAGGCCACCCTAAAATTTATTCTAAGTATGACCATTTAAAAGTTGACTTCTAGGGTGCTTAGGTGGTTCAGTTGGTTTTAAGCATGACTATTGATTTCAACTCAGATCCTGATCTCAGGGTTGTGAGACTGAGTCCTAGGTCAGGCTCTATGCTAGGCATGAAGCCTGCTTAAAAGTCTGTCTGTCTCTCTCTCTCTCTCTCTCTCTCTTCTCCTTCTGCCTCTCCCTCCTCCCCTCTTTCTTTCTCTCTCTCTCTCTCTCTCTCTCTCTCTCTCAAAAAAAAAAAAAAAAGTTCACTTCTCTTCTAAACTTCAAGTTCTGCGTGGGGAATTTTCAATAGTAGAGTAGGTATCTTTTTTGAGGGCGGAGAGTATTACCAGCATCTATCACCATGGTTGACGTATAGTATGTGTCAAATGTTCATTAGAATGAATGACTAGGGACGCCTGGGTGGCTCAGTGGTTTAGTGCCTGCCTTTGGCCCCGGGCGTGATCCTGGAGTTCTGGGATCGAGTCCCGCATCGGGTTCCCTGCGAGGAGACTGCTTCTCCCTCTGCCTGTGTCTGCCTTCTCTCTGTGTCTCTCATGAATAAATAAATAAAATCTTAAAAAAAAAAAAAAAAGAATGAATGACTAAAAAAGATCATTACTTGTCCATATGTAAACATAAGGGGATCTCGGGTGTCATACTGAATGAATTAAATTAATATTCAAGTGAGACAGAAATTATAGTCTCTTGCCTACAAGAGAATATCTAAGTTAGTTATCTAAGTGTAGAGATACAGAAGGAAAAAATAAGTGAAAAACTCTAAGGACACCATTTGAATGGAAGTTCCCCACCCCTTTCCTGTAGCACTTTTCCTTCATAAGGAACTAACGAGCCAATTGCTCAACTAGTATGCAAAGAAAGGGTGTGGAATAAGTGGTGTTAGCTGCTGAAAGAGTAACTCTACAATTCTATATTATTTACAGCCATATAATCAATATTTTGTAATATTTTGGTAAGCCAGCTGATGGGTGCTTTCCTTTTAGGCAGGATATCTTTTCCTAAATTTCAATAGCTCTATTATTTATTTGGAATGATGCATCTATAGCAACAAAAGAAAAGTAGGGTTTTTGTGTATTTGGTAAAAAGGTCGATCTTGGTATGTGCAACCGACAGTTTACAAGGCCTATAAAGTTCAGAATGAAGAAAGCTATACCTGGAGGAGTTTCAAGCATAAGGGAAATGTCAAATTAACAAAGCATACATCAGTATAGAACATAAACGTTGAGATGACCCTGTTTAGATCAGTCAGCAAAGGCCTAAGGAAAACAAAACTTAAATAAGGTAACAACTGTTTGGCAGATGGGAAGGTCGAATAACTTCTTTCAGATGAATGAGATAACTTTTGCCAATATGCCAGGCAATGTGGAAAAATGAAAAACTGTTTCCAGTAAGGAGATGTATCTGATGCAGAAGACACTGGCAAAAAAGTACAGGGAATGAACCTTATAAGACTCTTTCCAAAACGCCCTAACTCCAAGATGAGAAAAAGGAGACCCAAGAAAGGCAAACAAGTTTTACATAGAGCTAATGAGTAGCAATGCTGGCAAAGAATTCAAGTCTTCTGATTCTTTTTCAATTAAGCACTCTGGGAAAGCACTGTACCAGGTGCCCTTAAAAGAATCCAAAAGAAATACACTTAAGTTTCCCTATCTTCAAAGAGTTTAGAATGTTGCTTAGGTGATTTAACACACACACACACACACACACACACACAATGAAAGAAAGAAAAGAAAGAAAGAAAGAAAGAAAGAAAGAAAGAAAGAAAGAAAGAAAGAAAGAAAGAAAGAAAGAAAGAAAGAGAAAGAAAGAAAAAAAGAAAGAAAAGAGACATAAAAACAGGATGTAAGGTGTTTTTTTTTTTTATAGAGCCAAGTTATGCTCTACAAAAATAAGTTAGTCATTTAGGGAGCTGGTAAATTAGGAACAAAAAAGGAACCAAAAAGCAAATCAGTGATTGTTGAAATGGTACTTGGAAGGAAAAATTATTTTTGATGACCTGTGTTCAGAATGGCATGAAATGTAAGTGAAGAAACTGGGAGAAATTAACAACTATAACTTGAAAAAAAAAAAGCTAAAAAACATATGGATTGGTCTATACAGTCATGAAAATGAAAATAAAAGGGCAGATCAGGAAGTTCATGTTTGCAAAATTACTTCAAATTACAAAAGGACCAGTTACAATATATAACTAACATCAAGTTGTGCAAGTTCCAAGTGTAAGAAGTTTACAAGGCAGGTCTGGCTCACTGATTTCTCCCAACACAACCATGGACTGAGCTGTGCTTATGAAAACAAAACCACAGAATGAAGAAATTCTGTTTTCCAGAGAATTGTGAATTTTGAGATTATCTTTTTTTTTCTTTTAGGAGGGAGTTCTGGCTTGGTTTTCAATCTCAAGTTACCGATCAACTAACTTACTCTACAATCTGTGAAACTACAATATCCAAAAATAGTACAAACTACTTATGAGTATCACCAACAAAAGTCCTACTTACCAACTAGAGCCAGTATACATATTTACAAGATCTCACTCACCATTCTACTCATCAGATGCTTTACTGGCTTGGCTGCCTCCGGTTCCAACCACAAGTTACTTTAGTAAAATTTCCTCCCAGCTAGGAACAGTATATCTTAAAGTCAATGATATACTTCATCCTCCCATCATACCAGTATTGTAACACAGAACCGGGAGGTAATTACATGCAACGATCCAAAATCACCAGCTGAATAACAACCATCAGGTAATAGGACTGGTTAGATTTTTAAATGTTTTACAGAAAGCCTTAGACCTATAAAAGTAAAAGCTTGTTAACGATTTGAATTCTCTACAATCTTTCAAACACACACAAACTAGAGACCAGGAATCAAAAATAGCTTTACACAAACAAGAGCAAAATTGTAGGTTCTGCGGAGGGCATCAGCCACTTAATTTAACCCCACTTCATCAAGAGCAGGAAGCCAGGCTGCTGTTTTCATCAGTTACTAGGGAACAAATAAGATAAAAGATAGACTGGGCAGGGGAGTCTACAGTCGGAAGGACTATTTTGATCCAATTACAGAAAATTCCCAAAGTGTCACTAAGAAGCAGCACCCACGGCCGCCTCAAGACGAGTCTATCTACGACGGAGCGAGTGCCTGAAGGCGGAGGAAAGACCTGCTGGAGCTTCGGATTGTTTTTTCCCCTCCTCGAGCCCCTCCTCCCTTCCCCCACCTAAACAGGAAAGAAAACGCGCCCAGCATAAACACAGGCCGAGGCTCCGGTCTGTCACCACAACAAACTGGCGGTTGGACCAGCGCCTCTGGAGACCGACCCCCGAGTCCCCGTTGCTAAACACAAAAAGGGCCTCCTCCCTCCCACGGACCTGTGGCCCGTGCGGGCCTTCAAGAGTTTCTGGTTGTTTCCTCACCTTTTCTTTCTCTCTCTGTCTCTCTCTCTTTTCTTTAAACGAACGCTTTGGGAAAGTGGCGACCGACAGCAAAAGTTTCCCTCCGAGCCAGACCTCTAAATCCGCCTTGCCCAGACACATATTAGGTGGGCTGGTCCCACGGCGTCTCCACCATCATTACAAATCACAAACCTAACGATTAAAGAACAGAAGCGGAGAGGATCGGGGAGCTTCCACACCCACCCGACCGCCGCCGTCCTGTCCAGACACCGCTCCCCGGTCGCGAAGAGCACAAATGGCCCGGAAGCAGGGTGGTCAGCAGAGCTGTGAACACACGCACAAGCCACGCGCTGGGCACCGGCCACCACCGCCCGGGGGGAACCGGCCGGGCGAGGAGGCGCGAGGCGGCCCCCTGTCACCTGGGGACAACAGCACGCCCCGGGAGCAGGGGCAGGAGGCAGGGGGCAGGGGGAGCCTCCCCGCTCTTCCCGGGAACGCAAGCCCTCGGCGGCCGCCAGCGGCCGGGCCGCAGAGCCGGGCGCCGGGTCCCCGGGGGTGGGGGGTGGGGGGTGGGGGGTGGGGGCGCCCAGGCAGGCGCCCCCCGCAGGCCGGGCGCCCGGGAGAGCCCGCGGCCCGCCCGGCCCCGCCTCTGGGAGCCGATGGGAGCTCGCTCCCCGCCGAGGCCCCTTCCCGCCCGGCCCGACTCACCGCCGGTGGGTCTGGTTCTCAGCCGCGAGCTGGGGCTGCCGTGAGGAGGCGGCGGAGGAGACGAGATCCGGGGCCCCGCCGCCGGGTCATCATACCCCCCGCGCGAGCCGGCCCGGGCCCCGGCCCCCGCCCCCCGGAGCCGTCCCCGCGCCCGTCCCGCGGGGGGAGCCCCCTCAGCCTCCCGCCCGCTCCGCCGCCCGGCCCCTGGCCGCCGCCGCCGCCGCCGCCGCCGCCGCCGCCGCCTCAGCCCCGCGCGCTCCCGCCTCGGCCTCCCGCTGCCGTCCGGGGCCACCGCCGGGCCCCTCGCTCCGCAGCCGCCGTCGTCGCCAGACCCGACGAGCCGAGCGCCGAGCGGCCGCCCCCATCCGGCGGCCCCGCCCCGCGGGAACCCTTCCTCAGCCCGGCGCCATGACACCTACTGAGGCGGAAGTGTGGAGGCGCCGGCCGGTTAGGACCACCGCACCCTGCGGGTGGCGGTGGGAGTGGGGGGGCCTCCGTGGGGAGCCAGTGTGGATCGAGTGCGGGGGCCGGATTCCCCGCCCCCTCCGCGCGGCCGACTCCGCGGTGATTTAAAGGTCCTGGGTGGCGGCAGGGGGTCCAGCTGTAAAATGTCATCCCAGCCAGTGTGACATCACCGCAGTCCAGTGTGACACCCGCGGAGATTGGGCAGCGCGCGGGGCGGCAGCGCGCGGGCGGCAGCGGCTTCCCGGGAAGCCCCCCTGCCGGCGAGCAACGACCTCAGTTTGGGCTTCAAGGTTTCGTTGCCCGCACGGAGACGTTCTAGCTGAGCGGCCTCGGCGTGCGCGACCTGGCAGCCTCCGCGCACCTCGGGAGCGCCCAGGAGGCCCCCGCGCTGCCCGCCATCGGTCCCTGTGTGTGCTTCGGGAAGTGAGAGACAACACCTGTGCCCCGGACCCAGCCCCTCAAAACGGGCGCTGAGCAAATGCTGCCATAACGTCCTTGCCCCTCCCAGGAGAGTGGGACTGGGTACTCGGGAAGCCGGTGCGTCGGGCACGCTGCGTTCTGGAAAAAATGGACACTGTGAAAACTAGGTTAGCCTGAAAGAAAGACTGTTGCCACCTCCCGGAGTCAGGAGATTCTGTGGGACTTCACCTGTACCTCCTCCTGCCGTGTGAAGTGTTCCTACTCCTGAAGTGGGGAGCGTTTTTAGAGAGACGGTAGGATAATCTGTTTATTTTTTTCTACCCGGCAAGTGCTGGAGGCAGCAGTGATCTGAGCCCTACAAAGTGACTGTCCCAACATCGCGGGTGGGTGTTCCCATATACCCTTTCAGGAGGGGGACAGATGTGGCTAAGTCAAGATTCTGCTGATTACATTGTATTTCCCGGATTTCACTTGTTATACATTCTTGACTTACTTGTAGCGCCGACTCCTCACACACACACACACACACACACACACACACACACACACACAAAATTGTGCTAACACTTTTGTGAAGAAGTGGTCATACCACGTTAGTACATTAGGGTTTCTTTTTCTGGCTTAACAACGCTGGGAGCAGTTCTATTTTATGGGAAAGGGGAAGTTTAGTTCCCTAGAGGACCAAGGTTAGCAAGTGTTCAATCCCACAGGGCAGTTTTGTTTTGCTTATTTTCACAGGAACTGAGAACATAAAGTCCTTACATTGGACTGACCTGGGAAACAGCAAAATGTAGAGACTGGGGAACCTGGAAAAAGGCAGAACTTGAGCACTGGTGTAGAACAGACCCTGCTCAAAAAGCAGGCTTCAAACACACTAACTGCTTACCAGGCCTCAGCTCAACCAACTCCGTGGCGTGCTTCTAGGCTCCTACTCTCTCAAGTTAGATCCCTTTCCTCTTTTCAAACTCACAAAATTCAATTTTAGGGAACCTTTCCCGATTGACTCCCACCTTTATTCTAATGATTTAATTCTACATCATCCTCTGTATTTACTTTCTTGTTTATACTTGTTGATCTATGTTCCTCATTCTTAGGTCACCTCTTCAGTTTGCCTCACTACAGGGAGACCTTCTCAAAATCTACTATTTCCCCCTCTGTGTGCCTCCTCTACTCCAGGCACTCTCCTAGATACTGGGTCAGATGCAACATGAATAAGGTATAGTCTCTTCCCTCAGTTTACAGTCTACTGAGGGAAAAAAAAAAAAATGCATGGAGACATATATAAGACTTGAATGACAGAGCCAGAGAAGACTTCAGAAAAGGAGATATTTAAACATGGCATGGTCAAAGAAGTTTGAAAATTGAATGTAGCTAGGGTTCATTTGTCCATACAGCAAATGTCTATTTTTGTAGTACTACATACTAAAATGTAGTATTTTCTGTGTGCCAGGCACTACAGTAGAAATTAAAGATACAAAAAAGAAAAAGCATAGCCCATGCTCTGAAAGACCTTACACTTTAGCAGAGAAGTGGCAAGATATGGAATTAGTAAGGCAGGTAGAGTCAGCTTTTAAAGGCAATGAAGAACACTTAAGAGGTTTAATCAGACAGGTATTATGAAGGAATCTGTGTTTTAAAGAGAGAGCTAGTGGCAGCAAGGAGGATAGCTGACTGGAATGTGTGTAGGCTAGAGGAAGAGAGCCTAATTAGAAAGCTATGATAAAGGATTGGTCAAGCAGAGACCCTGGAGAGAAGGAGGCTGATGGGACAACTCTCCTCCTAGACAAAATCAGTGCAGATGGAGAGAGAGATGAAGCTGTTGCCTGTTGGAAGCACGGAATCTCACCTAGGGTATAATATTGCTCTGGGGCCTAGAGCCTAGATTCAATGTTGCAGGAAAAAGTCACTTGCTCGGGAGCTGCAGTGCATAAGGCCAACCTGGAGGAGTTGACCAAAAGGCTGTGTCATGAGAGAAGTTGAATCAGAAAACTCATCAAACCCTGTGAAGGAGTAGTGAATCCAAGAGTCCAGGAAGAAAAGATAATTCAAGTAGAAGCCAACAGTTAGTTGTAAAACTGGGAGGACTAGATGAGAGTAAAGGTCTGAAGGCAAGGACAGGAGGCAGAACAGGGAAAAATCCTTTGAAGCAAGAGGGAATCTTCAATGCTTTTTAAAAATCTGACCCCAGAAGACTTTATTTGGAAAAAATTCCAAACACACAGAAAAGTTAATAATAAAAAAAGCACCTATATATCCTTTGCTTGGATTTTTTTATTAACATTTTTCCTCTTGGGAGCCTGGGTGGATCAGTGGTTGAGCATCTGCCTTTGGCTCAGGTCATGGTCCTGGGATCCTGGGATCGAGTTCCTCATGGGGCTCCTCACAGGGAGCCTGCTTCTCCCTCTGCCTGTGTCTCTGCCTCTCTGTGTGTCTCTCATGAATAAATAAATTAAATCTTAAAAAAAAATAAAACCCCAAAAACATTTTGCCCCTTTTGCTCTGACACTTGCAGTCTCCAATAGTTAAGACGCATACACATTATTTTTTTCTGACCATTTGAAAGTAAATTGCACACATTATACTCCTTTATCCCTTAATACTTGAATGTCCTAAGAATATGTACATTCTACATACACAATATATACAGTTACCAATTCCAGGAGACAACATTGATACAATCCCTTAATCTGCTATCTGTATTCCAAATTTTGTCATTTAATACAGTAATGATATGCTTACCCTTTTTCCCCTTCCAATAGAGGATCCAATTCAGGATCATATATTGCAGGTCTCTTAGGCTTCTTTAATCTGCATCAGTTCCTTAGCTGCTTTTTTTTGTCTGATATTTTTGAAGAGTACAGCCCCACCGCCCCACCTCCGCTTGGTTCAGACAAAAGAATGTTCCTCATTTCCAATTCGTCCTTGATGTTTGTCTCACGTTTATTCATTATTAGATCCCTGTTATCCATTCCTGGCCAGAATACTACATAAGTGATATTGTGTCCTTCTCAGGGTATCAAACCCAAAGTCAGATGATGACTCTGTCCCTCACTGGGTAATAATTTTGGTCACTTTGTTGAGCTGTCTCATTTCCCCACAGTATATTTACTATTTTTTTCCTTGTAATAAGAATCTATGAGGAGACATCTTAGACCCTGCAAAGCTCCTGCTCCTCATTAAACATATTCCCTTAGATTTAGCACCCGCTGATGATTCTTAACTTGTACCAGTCCTCCTTCATCTCTTATTAATTTAGTTATCTGTTAATGATATAGACTCATGGATTACTATGTTTTTCAATGGTTTATAATTCCTTACAGTCCTTAATTATTTGGGTGCCAGAATTTGCCAGATTTAGGGGTGGCGCAGTGGGTCAGGCATCTGCCTTTGGCTCAAGTCATGACCCCAGAATCCTGGGATTGAGCCCCACATTGGGCTTCCTGCTCAGAAGAGAGTCTGCCTTTCTTGCTCTGCCTCTCCTACCCTCCCCCTGCCCACCCCCCTACCCCACCCCTGCCACTAGTGCTCACTGGCTCTCTCTCATGCTTTCTCTCAAATAAATAAATAAAATCTTTTTTTTTTAAGTTTAAAATGATGACATAAAAAATAAAATTAAAAATTTCCAGATTTATATGGGTGCCTTTTTAAGTTCCTGTGTCCTTTTTGGCATGTCTGAATGTCAGATGTCCCTGACTCATCTTGACTCTTGCTGGTTCACCATTCCCTGGAGCATTGGATTTCTCCACTGGGTGCTTTGTATCTGGCCAGAAAAAAGCAAAGGGAAGAAAAAAATATGGATTATTTGTGTGGGAAGTTTTTATACACCAGGCCTGCATGTAGCAAACACATAGATCTATTCTGCACACATCACATTGGTGGTCACTCAGGAACATGGATACTGCTAAAGAGATTAGGAGGTGACACAATCCGTGTGCCCAAGGGAAAAGAGACATGACTTAGTAAAAATTAAGCCAGTCTGTGCCACGCTTGTCCAAAAGCCATTCCTTGTGTTACTTCTTCCATATTAATACAATCCCAGTTGTATTCAGAGAGAAGGAAGATCCCTTGATTTCAAAGAAGGTAACATCCTCTCACCAATTCAGGAGATAAATCACAATGGTCCAAACCAATCCTGGTAATTCCACTTCTCTTCACCAATGACTAGTCTAAGAGTGGGTATAGACTCAGTTCTGGTCAATGAAATTGGAAAGGAAGTCTAACGGAGGCTCCTAGGAAAATTTTTCTTTTTGTATAAAAAAGACAGGACCTTCACAGAAGAAATTCTTTTGTTCCTGCCTCTCTTTTTGCTGAGACAAAGGAATGAAGACACCAGGCTTGGAAATGCCGTAGCTATCTTGTGATCATAATGTGACAATAAACAAAGATGAAAACAGTCAACATGCTGAGGACAGCAAAGGAAACAGAAAGAATGGGTCTTTGATGACAGAGGTAAACTTCTGAATTAACCTGGGACTGCCTACCACTTTTGGATTTTTTACATAAATGCTTGTATGTTTCAAGAACACTGTTAGACAAGTTTTCTGTTCTTTGCAGCCCAAATCAGTCTTAAGTTGCTACAGGAAAGAATTAGGAGAGATTTTCTAGAAAAAGGAGCTAGTTGGTGGTGGATATCCAAATGTTCTGAGAAGTAAAAGAGAATAAGGATGAAGAGCAACCAGTGGATTTGCAATTAGGTCACTGTTGATCTTGGTAACAGCAATTTTAGTGGCATGGTGGGGGCAGAAGCAAAGTGATTGCTACAAAGGATTCTTTTTTTTTAGGATTTTATTTATTTATTCATGAGAGACACAGAAAGAGAGGCAGAGACACAGGCAGAGGGAGAAGCAGGATCCCTGTGGAGAGCCTGATGAGGAACTCAATCCCAGGACCCTGGAATCAGGACCTGAGCCAAAGGTAGATGCTCAACAACTGAGCCACCCAGGCGCCCAGGATTTTTCCTCGTATAAGTGGTGAGTGACAAACCGGGAAAGATGGTTGGATCTAACTAGATGATGGAATCTACTCTAGTCAGTTCCCATATTCAGCTCCTAAGATCTAAGGAAGCTGCTTGGTTTCCAGCTGTCCACTTCAGCCCACATCTGGGTATGCACAAACTGAATCACTTTGACTGCTCTACCACTTCCCACAGGCATAAGCCAAGAAAAATTATTCTGGCCCCTTAACTGGTTTCATGGAGAGCAAATCCAGCATGTGTGATGGGGAGTGAATAGGACCTTTTTAAAAACATTTTCTTCCAGGATTTATTGACTGTATAATAAGTACTGGACATTCA